AGCGCCTCGCTTCGCTCGGGCGAGCGCCTCGGGCGTTTTTGGACCTTGGCGCCTTTTGGCGCCTAGCGCTTTTTAAATCACTGCCTTATTTTCTACCATCCACACACAATTATGGTGCCTCTCCTTGTATGACTCGAAAAGATTTCATACAAAAAGTTCATCCTCTAACCAGTGAAATCTCTTCAGCAGATAATGTGCTGTTGACAATATAAAATACCAATTCAGAAATGTTGAACGAAGTTAGAAAAATAACGAACATCGATTTATGGCTTAGCCATAAGTCTTAAGTTGTCACCAACAAGGTTTATCTCACCAGTTAAAAAATGAAATCAATGACGAACCCAGAACCTAGAGATGGCCCGGTGGTCTTGGTTCCAGTGGCCAAGATATTTAATAATAACAATAATAATAATGTGTGGGAGATCAGGCTTCCTGCAACACAGTTACTCTCATGCTTTTTCTAACCCAACCCAAATTTCTATTGAACTTCAAATAAATCAAGAAATTTGTTTCAAAATCTCTTTAGTTTCTGTAGCTTCAATCTGGCCCTGCCAAAATCTTTAAAACAAAAGAGATTACAATGCCCTAATTAATTGTCCAATGGGCTTGAGCAACTTAAATAATTTTCTGGGACCCATCTCTTTCATCTTTAATGCATCCTCCAATATGGAAGCAAAATAGTTATCATGAATTCAAGACATCATAACGCTTATTTGTTTTCGTAAAGCCACAAGAAGATAGTTTGCTGTGCCCTAAAGAAATATTCATATTTTCTGCTGCTTCATGTTTTTGTCATTCACTAATAATTTCTAAAATCATAAGCACAAACAATCCAAAATTTGCATCCTTACTCCGATACGCCTCAATTTCCTAACTATTTTCTTCAGTTTCCTTCTGAAATTTTCCTTTTTCCCCCTTTTTGTGAAACTCTTGAACATATCAAAAGAAAACAGATGAAACATGATTCAATACTTCCAAAAAAATTTAGAAGCTTACTTCGATTATAAACTGAAAACCGAAACAGGACAAATTGTAGGCCTCACTTGCTGTAATAAAAGATGAGAAAGAAACACGATGTCCTTTCTCAATACATACTAATTCCTTTCTCAATTGTAATTTAATATTTCATGAATTTAAAGGCACATTATTATCCTTATCCCTAGCCATAGCAAGTCCAATCTAGTAGAACCCATGGCTCAATTACCAGAGTTTTAGATTGTAAAATTATTATACAGAAGGTCAACTTCAACAATTGGAAATCCCACCAAGGTTATGTAAGCCTTAATACCTTTAAAGCATAGTAATATGTAGCTCTAATCAATTAAGCATGTAGAAGACAGATTGATGGATTCTCATAGAACACCTGAAAACATATAGTTCATATGTCAAACCAGAAGAACTAAGTAATCCAATATAAATTGTCCTCTAAAGTAACCAACAAGGGACTAGATACAAGGTCAGAGAGACATCCATTAAAGACGACACCATTCATCTATACTAGAAGAAACAAAATCAAAGTAACAATGGACAGAAGAGTTAAATTGGGTCATATAGTGCAGAATGCACAAGTGTCCTCACATGCCTATTCTACTGGCAGATAGACATGAAAACATGCACATACAATTACCTAAGGGACCTATATTCATTAAATATTTGCATACAGCATAGTTTAAACAGGTTCATAAAAATTCTCTAGTCATCAGCCTCATTCTTACCATAAGGAGAGTAAATGCTCAGATGAATCGGAACAGGTGAGATTTGCTTTGAACGACCAGTCTCTCTATCTGTTTCATCTGAAATCTCCTTCCTAACAAGAGCTGCATTAAGATGGTCGATCCATGAATTTTAGTGTCAAAAGAATCATTCAGAAGATAACTTGTAATTTTTTATGCAGAACAAAATATTTACAACCAAATAACAAAAAATAAAATAAAACAGTGAGGATGTGACATTGTCATGCACAAGTTCCTCAAGGACAATTATTTGGCAAAGTCAAGTTTCATCAAATTAACTTTTTCAACATATTTATGTGCATTGTGTCAAACAAGAGTCCACCAGAGTCTGGCACAAACTTGAAGGCAACCAGTCACTATTCCAGCCACATGTAGAGAGGCACATAAAGATTGAAACCGTGCTGACACAGTAAGATGCATGTGCAACTAGTGCATAAAGGCAAGTACCAAAACAATTTGATGCCCATGATACATGGTTATTAACTCGTAACAGAGTATTTCCGTGGCAGTGCATGAAGGTGTCCGAAAACAAGATCATGGCCTCAAAAGAGGGGAATCAAATAAGTGATTTTGTTATATGACAACTGAATGCATACCAGGTCCACAAACAGCATCATATTCAGATCCACAATCATAAAATTTATATTCTAGGACTTAAAATGTAAAACATCAACTTAAACATCAAAAAGAGAAAATACATCACAGACAATTGAACTTTTAACATAAAAATAACATCCTTTTTCTATAAACTACCGGTTCTATACTACCATCACAGTGACAATATCCTATAAAATAAAAACAACATCTTAAAGTTACTCTATCAACAAATGAGATTACCAAAATCTGTGAACCTCTTCCTCGGAAGGTGCATGAACTCTGCATATTCTCTCTCTCCATCAATCTTATGTAGTTGAAGGACAAGGGGACGTCTAGTAACAATTCCTATAAAATTGAACAACACCATTTAACTACCAAGTGACCACCAAAATCAAAGCACTAAGAAAATATCCAGTATATAAAATTGGAGTTGCAAATGTTACCTGAACCCCTTGGTAGAAAGTCCTTCCCAACTATGCTCTCCAGTACTGAAGACTTGCCAGAGCTCTAGCATATATAATCACAGCATGAAAGAAAATATACTCACAGTTCAGTGCAGAAGTTAACAAAGTTGCATTTTGTCTTAGCTTTTGAGTATATATGAAACACATACAATAACTAGATTAACATAAAGGGAAAATTTCATCCATGTTTCTTCTGCTGACAGGAAATGAACATCACAATAAACCAATTCAATAGTTGAATCTCAAAATATTCTAACATTAGTACAGGACTATCCAAAACAAGATTAGCTATTTTATTATTCTTTTTGAAGGATCATTGAACTCAAGAGACTTGGTTTTCTCGTGACAATTTTAACAGAGAGAAAAGGATGTGACATATCTTCGATTACAATATTTTAGGCCATTAGATATGGCAATAACTAGTGACTGCTACTTTGTTTCTTTTAGGAAAAGTTTTGGAATTTCAATGTGCCGCCAAATATTTCAACACGCGGCCAAAAATAAAAATCAGAGACTAACCGTCTAACCACGATAAATGCATAGAACAGAAAAGATAATGTCAGATTAGTATAAGCAAACGGACAAATAACAATACCTTTAGCACAGTAAATATAGAATGTGCACCTATAAAGGAGCTTCAATTATGTCAAAACGTCTGGGTCCGATGTCCAATCATCCAAAGGAAAAGACATCAGAGGACCCCAGATCAAGCACCAAGGCTAGATCTTCCCACTCAAACCTAGCATTCCCCTCTTGAACAACAAGGATCTACCACCAGAACACGAAACCCTATGACCCGTAAGGAGAACACCCTGATTCGCAGTAAGGGAGAGGGAAAGGGGCAAGATCTTAAACAAGAAGCAAAAGACAGTAGCAACGGGCGGAGAGATCCGAGAGGTGATTACCTGCCCACCGACGACCGCAATCGCCGGAAGCGAGTCCCACAGGGTCGGGAGGGCGTTCTCCTCCCCATGGTCGCCTAGAGCAGTGCAAGCTCTCTGGAGCTTGTTAACCAGCGAGATCAGGCTCTCCATGGCCTCCCCCGACCAAGCTTTTCCTTCACGGAGAAAGTGTAAGCCTCTTCGGCGGCAAGATCACCCCGATCCCGACTAAATCAAGCCGGGAATCGGGAAAGGAGGAGGGACGAAGCAGTAGATCGGAGGGAGGAAGGCGTGCCACTGCGAAGAGGAGGCGATCGGGGGGGTGGGGGAGAGGGGGAATCATGGAGTGGTAGTAAGGTAGTAGTAACGGTGACTTCGAGAAGATCTGGGCCGTCCGATGAAGCAGCGGCTCGGCTTCTTCTCATGTTGGCCGTTGATCACTGGGGGGGGAACGCGGAGGAATCGGGTTTGATGTCGCTGTCTAGTCCACCCGCCGTCGATTAGCCGTCGGATTCGAATCGTCCGTCCACTTTGATTTGAATATTTTTGAATCATGATCGAGCACGATTTTCGACATGGATCGTGGTTGAAGCATATTTGACCCAATGAAAATTGCAATCAGTTAAAATATGTCTGAATTGTGTTCGCGTCGTTAAGAAACTCGTTTTAGTAATATTTTAAGTGCTTGCAAAAGCTTCCATGTCTGAGATTTCATGGAAAAAAAAATGTGATCGTAGCATGCGGGGACAAACCTTACGGGGGTAAGAAGGCGAGATAAAACAGGTGGGGTGGCCTTTCCTCGATACACCATCCCGAGTGTTCTAATTCTGCATCACCAAGTTGACCTTTGCATCAGTCGACGACTTCATAGATGACCTTGGTCAGAGCACAACAGAGAAGTAGCAAACACGTCGGTGGATATAGATAGAATATCAGACAAAGTTGGTCAAATTTACGCAAAGAATATATCATGTACATCGTATGACCAAGTTTGACAATGCCATATACATCAGATGATCACACACACACTGAAACAATCTACATAATAGCAACACGTACGGCTCATCCAAGGCCACATCGAATGCCTGCCAAGGCAAGGAAGCTACTTCTGCTCAACCATGGATAAAAGAATCAACAGACATATACTACGTGTTGTGTTTAAATACCAGATCTTGTGCTGCTATAGTCGATAGCTGATGTGTGCCAGCAAGGGCAAAAAAGAATGGAACCTAAGGAGGGGGAAAAAGAAAGCAGAGCAACCTTCCACTGAATGCCTCTCTGATGACGACAGAAGCATGTTTATTCACAAATAATCTAATTAAGGAATCATATCAGCTGGACATATGCCACATCTATATATCAAATTATCAATTAGGAATCCTTCTCCATCCCTGCTGAAGAACTGATGTTATTTGGATGTAGGGCACTTTCCATTTCCGTTAGCAGCGGCCTCGGGCAATTTATATCCCCAAGGGTTCTTGCTGGTCCAGTTCCACTGATCTCGGCACATCTCTTCGATGCCATACTTTGCCCTGCACAAAACCCATCATTGCAGGCATTTTTCAGGTCACTCGAGCATATGCTAGAAGAGCGTATTTTGGATCAACTTAGGCAAATAATGGTGACGGCATGCTACTACATACTTCCAGTGTAGCTCCTTCTCCGCTTTGGCAGTGGATGCATATACAATTTCGGCATCCCCAGGACGCCTTCCAGCCATGACCAGAGGGATTTTCTGAAATGATTTTAGAGGTCAGAAACTATGGAATACACAAAGAGAAGGTGAAAGCTGAGCAAATCTTAGATAGTTAAACAAAGATTACAAAAAAAAAGTAACAGCACCTTCCCAGAAGCCTTTTCAAACGCTGCCACTATTTCCAAGACAGATGTTCCCCTTCCAGTTGCGAGATTATAGACATCACATCCTGTATCTTGCAGGAAAGCTTACAATTACATCACAGAAAATGAGGCCTTCACTATTGACTATAATTATATCTCCTTGAAAAAGAAAAATTAAGGAACAAAACTTTTTCTAAATCATGTCAAATCTATTGTTTAATTAGTTTAACAGATTTCAGTTAGTTCATTGTTCATATGTTTCCTATCACCATTATCCTATTTTATCCTCTCCTATGCACCTTCAGATTATTGACCAACTCGGCATGCCGTTGTCAACTCTGGTGTTTCCACGTGGACACTTTTCCAACCTGGATGATGTGCGGCCGTCCTCTTCCCTTTTGCTACTCCCGCCATTTCATCCCAAAAGTAAACAGATTGGCCTTTCATATTTCGTTATTTTATCATGCATATCTAATATCAGAGTTGAAAACTGTCAGTTTCGCCTTTGTTCCAACCAAAGTCGATTCATAGTCATGATAAACTAGATAATTTAAGTTCATGTTGCATGTGAACATTGTACAGCGTCTTAGATGGTCCCAAAGCCATCTAATTTAAACACAAAATTAGTGCCATTTTATACACACCTATGTGAGAGCCCTCAAAGAGCTTCTGCAGGGCTGCAATATGTCCATCTGCCAAGTCAACAACATGAATATAATCCCTTACCTGAAATCATAAAAATGAAGTCCATTAGAACAGAAATTGTGAATCATAAAGAAAACCTAAATAGAAAAAACATTCTGCATATAAAATCCAGCAGATTGCTGGAAGGTGGAAGCCTGAACAAGATAAAGATAGATATAGTTAAGTTACATGAAGTCATGAACTATATTCGGGTAAAAATAGTACACTATGGAATAGCAAAACCAACAAATTTCACGTGGTTATTTGATATACTTTGTCATATATCCCTCATAACACATGAAAGAGCTGAAAACCATGACTGGAAATTGCGAAAATTATTAGCATACTATGGGCAAAAGACAGACAAAACAGATATCGGAATTGATATTGTTATGGAAACACAAAAGTCAAAAAAATTTCTTGACTGTGTTTCTAACCTTCTAAATTAACTTCCCACTGAAAATGTGAAAAACTTAAGCTTGTTTTAGCGTCAGAAAAAAAGTGTAACCCATAACAACTTTATTATGACTGCATCACTTTCTGCATTCAGACACTGCAAATTCATATGACAGATATCAAAACCCAGGTAAAATCTATAGCTTCCAAACAATGTAGTGGTTTCACAGAAATACTGCATTCAAATCATAGTCATATCCTCCTCAAAGTGCTGATACCCTCAAGCATTTAAATACTGCATTCAAATCATAGTCATATCTTCCTCAAAGTGCTAATACCCTCAAGCATTTGCTTAAGACTAGGTATGCCAAAATCATTTCCAAGCACTAGACTAATATTTCTAGAAAAAAATTATTAAATGGATGTAAAAAAGCAAAAAAAAAAAAAAGTTTACATGTTAAAGAACAGTACCGCTGTGCCATCCTTGGTTGAATAGTCATTTCCAAATACTGTAAGGGCAGCTCTCCTTCCAACAGCAACTTGCTGTACAAAGGGCATGAGGTTATTGGGAATTCCACGGGGATCTTCACCAATGTAGCCACTGGGATGAGCTCCAACAGGATTGAAGTATCTTAATAAAATAATATCCCACTCATTGTCACCTTGACAGATATCACGACACATATCTTCAGTCATAAGCTGCAATGATATGTATACAAGGATATTAGCTCAGGCAGTGGGTGCATTAAAAAGAAAGACAGGCAGAGAATGAAAGAAACCTTAGTACGTCCATATGGGTTTATTGCGCACAAGGGATATTCTTCTGTACAAGGCACTTCCTTGGGTGATCCATAAACTGTGGCTGATGATGAGAATACCAGCTGAAAAGTTTAAGATATCAGGCACCCAAATGGTTCATGTTCAAAATGGTCAAGAATAAGACATAAAAGTGACATTCAGGATGAAATCCACACATGTAAGATAGATAAAATAATTCTAATACATAAGCTGAGGAAATAAACATACTGGAAAGTCAAAACATCCAATTCAACAATAATTAATATTTATAGAGAACAACAGGCAAAGAAGCCGCCGACAAATGGCCCACAGCAAACTTTGATGTTTCCACAAGTAATCATCAATACATCCAAGCGAGGGACTCCACCTAGGCAACTGGCTTTCCAAAGGTCCAAGCCAAGTGGCTGCTCAAGAACCTAGATGGGACCTAGGACCCTAGTTCCTACCCTTCTCTTCTTAGGTGACTACTTAAGTAATACAAGTAATTATTAAAAAGGATCACAGATTACACATATAACAGTTCTACAAACTCATGTGACAAATAACAACAGCAAATGCATTCTTAAAAATATTTATGCATGTTTTCAGCCATCACAGACAACATTCTATCTTGTTTGTTATAATTAGTACTGATGTTTCCATTTATTTCTGTTAGTATCTCAAGTGCATACTCCAACAAAGCACCTGACCAAGATGCATAGAAAGGGTAACCTATTAACTCTAAGAGAGAATTTCTAGTTGGGAGTTTAAAATTTCATTATATGTTTAACTAAAATAGTTACTGCAACAGGAATACATATCATCTTATGTTTTTAAAAAACTTTTCATCGAACATATTAGTACTATAAAATAATAAAAAAATTTCAAATCCATACTATCTTGAGGTATCATAATTTAGTCGTATGCATGCGTGTCTAGGCCCTCCACTAGGCCTTTTTAAGGGGTTATCATCGAGAACAATGACCTTATACAAGGTATACAAAGAGAGAAGGGAGAAGAAGAATAGAATGTCTTACAAATGGCAAATTATTCAAAAAACCTAATTTGAAAGATCGATGAAAAAGGAATAAGATTACTTTGAACACTCTTGTTTGTGGGAAAATTATGAGATGAAAATTGGCATCAGAGAAGAAAAATACTTGTTATTAACTTCCAGAATGAAACACCTAGTGGGCTTAAATTTCTCCTCATGAAGATGACTGGACATATAGTCCCCAGACATTATTACTCACATTTGCTTCAAAAAATTATACACTCACATTGTCACACAAGTAATATTCATTTATCTACGTAATCAGATAGAAGTTTCTTAATTTTGTAAAATTTTTCGAAATGTCCATAAGAGAGGCGCATGTGAAATAAATGTCCCATATTACCTTTTTGCATCCATAAGCAGCCATTACTTCGAAGAGAATTATCGTACCAATAAGGTTGTTGTTGTAATAAAGCAAAGGTTTTCTAACACTTTCACCAACAGCCTTTATTCCAGCAAAGTGTATAACAGCATCAAACCTGCAGAGTCACAGCGGAACTTGAGCTTAAAAGAGAGCATAAACCTTCGTACAAGATTATGTGAAAAAAATATAATTCCAAGTGACAACAAAGCTCTATCTTGCATCACTTACCAATGCCTACCGTTGAAAATCTACCAGCACAGCATGTGCAGGTCATCCAGATTGACCAACTACACAGCCATCACCATTGCTTTTTCACTAAGTTATACTAACATCCACTAGAGAATGCACTAAATAAAAGTATCAATCTTTCATAAAGGATGCATTTCGTAAAAATATTTGTTCGCATGCACAATTTTGCGAAACCAATAATAAGGAATAAAACCTTTATGTAGGCATTCAGAAAAAGAATAAAAATTTAGTTCATGTTTGGAGATAATTGCTTCATACAGATCTACAATAAATCCTAGACAAGAATGCACTCTTAGGACATCCTTATCCCAAGAGGATTAATAAAGAAGTCTCTGCCATGCTCGACGGTTAATCAAACTCCCCCATATTTCATTTTTATGTCATATAGGGTGAATGACTCATGAAAGAACAATCTTATAACATGCTTAAAGAACTTAATTCCATCTGTAGCACAAGACAACCTCTAAGGCTCTAACTAGTCTTAGAATCTAGGTGTCGGTAAAGCTTTTAACTTCAGAGAATACCATTCAACTATTTGTGCCATTGTCTAAATGCAACATACAAAAGCAACGCACTGAATGGTCATGACATATTGATATCATCTCTCTCTCTCTTTCTCTCTCTCACACACACACACACCCTCTCTCCCCCCATCCACATCATTCTATCATAATAGAAATATTGAATTGCATCAGTCTACCATATTAACAAACAAGTTGTGCCTTATTGCTTAAAATCTCTTCAATGTTGCTTATGTGTACTTTGTTCCCAACTTCTTTACTCATATCCATTTCCATCTCAACAGTAATCCCATTAAAGCTATTTGCTATGCCATCTCTCCAAGAATGAGCAAAGATTGTATTTCTGCTTCTTCTCCTCCACGTCCCACCAGCAATTAGCTGATCCCATCCCCCTCAGTTCTCTTTGCAGTCACCCATGCTCGCCTCTTTCTTTCTATTGCCACTTTTAGTCTGACCGCTATTTATCACGGTCCTCTAATCCTTCAGCCTCCACAACCACACTATTGCAGCTACCAATCCCCTTCCCCTTTGCCTCCTCTTCATGATCCACTGAATATCATCATTAATTGGTAGTCCTCAAGGAACAACTATGTTATTTTCTTATGGAATAAACCTCCATTATTTTATCATTCATTGTATAATTGTTCTCTAAAGAACCATAAGTATCTTAGTAGGCACATGTTGGCACCCTAGTTTAAGCTATACCAATCAATATTATGAAGAAAATTTAGTTTTAACATTTGCTTTAGTATTGACTCATTTTAGAAAGTTCTATCACATGTTATTTCAAATACTTTCAATTGCGCTCCGTGCCATATATCAGCACTGGTTGCACAATGCTATTTAATAACTTTGATAAAGATGATGAAACTAGTGACATGGGAAAAGAAAGCTAACTATATTAAAACAGCCAACTTTAGCTATTAATCAACTAGATGATGAACCTATGTTATGTTTACCCCCCAGATAGCTAATGCAATTCAGTTCGCAACCTATACACAGTAAATGTACCAATTCGCCTAGAAGCCATCCTCGTTGTCAAGGAAAAGAATGTGACCTTGTCATGGTTTGAATCAGATCAATTTGTTTGACTCTCTAGAAGATGCAACCATTGACCTCTTCCACAACCATTATACAGTGGAATCCTCGAAAAGACAATATAAAATTTAACATAATAAAGAAGAAACAAAAGGGGAAAAAGTCTTTAGTGTTATCAAGATATCTCAATAACCATCAATTCGAGATCATGGGACGAAAAAGTGAGAAGAACTTTCTAAATGATGACAGAGTGCGCTTGTGTAGTCTTTTACTTTTCGTAGAGTCCCAAAGTAATAATAATATAATTGAACAGTTCAATGACCTTTGTATACTATTCCTAGTGAGAAAATGATAATAATAATCATGAAAAACAAAGTAATAATAATAGAAATCAACAGTTTAATAACCTAGGTATGATATTTCTAAGGAGAAAATGATACGAAAAATCATTATGAAGAGACTTACTTCGTGGAAGAAAAAACTTTTTCCAATGCTTCTCTGTCTCGAAGATCAATCTGCAGCATACACATACTTTAGAAAACCGATCTATAAATCCTGTAGCTCTTATTGTCAATCATCAGATGACTTGAATTTGACAAAATAACTAATCATGTGTGCCAGTTGAAGCAAATTCTTAACATAGTCTTGGCTCTCATCTAGTTCCTTGTTACTTCAATTTCCACTGGTACTTCAAACTTCAAAGAGGATCAAACAATTCATTTGTGTAGACTACATAATTTAAACAAGGCTGGCTACGAATAAGAATGCAGCATGGACTCAGCATTGTGATGTGAGCATCAAATGGTTTCAATAACTTCTTTGGAGAAAAAAATCATATTGTCAAGTGTAGAAACAACTAAGCACATATGATAATTGTGGTCAACCTCCAATCATGGAACTACACCTTAATGTAAAAACTCCAAATCCTAATTGGATTAGAAGCTTCTAACCACTAGGAACTATGTTTATGGAAAAAAGGCTTATTTGTGTTGCTCTGTACGATGAAATGTACACCATGTAGTTTTTGAGTTACAAATTGCAACTAGGATGACAAGAATGACCAATGTCAATATATAGCTCAAAATTTTTGCCTACGTCCTGCAGCAGCAAGATAAAAGTACCTAAAGAAAGGCTTAAAGGGGGGAAGATGTACATGCCTTTGTTGAGAAAGTTGTCCGTTCTAATTAAGTTAAATCAAAACTTCTTCAAGAAGTTAAAGAAAAGTTACCCATTTGAACACATCAGGTTATGATTCTCGTACGATTTGGTAGCAATTACCCTGGGCAGTTGACTCCAGACGGTGTCAAAGAAGCCTGAACTCGCATCTAGAATTTGACATTTTACCTAATTTGTTGAAGACTCCAAAGAGGCGTTTAAGACGCATGATCTGGCATCTAAAACTTGACGGCTCCCCTAGTGTGGCATCTAGAGCTGGCTCGTTTCCCTCGTTTGACGAAAGAGATGTCATGACCACAGAGATCCTAAATTGCAACACTATTAGGAGCTACAACCCACCGCAAATCTACCGATTCATAATGCCTGGAAAATACTACAAACCCAAGATGAAATTCACGAGAAGAAACCCAAGAACCACAATCATCTCACAACGGAAACGGCGCAGACGGGAACAAGAATAATCTCGATCGAGAAGTAAATCTTGCCAATCAAGAAGCCACTCGCATCTCACAGATTTCAAGACGAACCATCGCAACACATCCAAGAACCCTAAATCTCATAACCGATTCCGCAGGCGTGGAAGCAGAGGGATCAAATCGGTACCCGATGGAAGTCAAGGTTCTTGCCGAACTCCCCGGCGAGCTCCCTGACCCGCTCGAGGGCGACCTCCGAGGAGTTGTCGAGGTTGTCCACCACGACGGCGCGGTAGCCCCCCTTGAGGAGCTGCAGCACCGTGTGGCTGCCGATGTACCCGGCGCCGCCCGTCACCAGAATGTTCCGCGCCGCGGCCGGCGGAGAAGGCATCGGATCGGCGGCGGCAGCGGCGCGGCGAAGGTAAACGGAGGAACCGTCGAGATCTGGCGAGGGGAGGGCGGGGCGAGTGGGGGAACGCGAGGAATTTGGATCCGGGGCCGAGTGAGGAAGGTATATGTACCCGCCATGGTCATAGACCGTGCGCTGTCCGTGAACACCCCCTCATTTTTTTATTTCTTTTTCTTCTGCTAAAAGATTATTCCATGTTGATTGTAGAAGTGCAGACTGCGTACGTGGCGCGAGGCAATTGGAGGGCGCTGAAACTTACAGCTCAGTCCTCGTCCGTGGTCGGAGGATGGGGGACGCGGCGCGGCTCAGCTGTTCGGACCCCGGCAGGAAACAGCTTCCTCAACGGCATACGGTGACGCGAGCGGCAAAGTTTATTTGGATCGCTAGTGAATGCAAAATTGGAATTTGAGAAGGGAATCGTGCAAGTTATTTTAAATGTTAATTGTCAAATATACGGAACATTTCACATCATAATGTAACTCCGAATATTTCCAGTCAGATCGATCGATGTAATAATCATAACAATAAATCTTAACACGAATATTCCTTCAACAACAACGGTATAAAATACATTCCTCTCTGTATGAAACAAACATCGACACTCTCTTGCTATACTATAATATTATCGAAAACGCGCATTAATTTTGTTACAAAACATTGGCATATCGGAATCATCAACTGTTAGATGCATAGCATTAGGATATCGGTGCAATCTGTATTTTATTGTATGAAAGACATATATATATATATGAATAAAAGAAAAGATCACCATGATGAGGCACCGACCAGTATAAAGAAGTAGGTAGATCAGTTAAAACCGGAGGGACGAGGCTCCCATGCGGCCATGCCTCGACCCAGCGACTAAACAATTTCGCAGGCCCCACGGAGTTAAACCATGGCGAGCCCACGGCCTACAACCAATGGAAGGGCGGCACGGGAATACAGAGGAGGATGCGAGGAGGGTGCGTGGCGTCATACTCTGTTGCAGGCCACATGTTCGATGGAATGGTTCTGAGGGGACGGTGGATTTGTGAAGGACGTGGTGTGAGAGGAAGCTGCCTGTTGTTGCTGCAATATATAATGTCAAAACAACAGAACTTAGATTTGTCACGTATAAGAGAAGAACTGCTCAACCGAATCTAGAAAATAAATGATTGACTTGGCTCATTCATACATACACTTCGAGGAAACAACGCTCATGTCTTTTATACGTGCAGAAGAAAACACAAAGGATAGATGGATCCAAAACTTCCCCACTATAAAAGAGAGGGACAGAGAAAAAGAAAGTTTATTGTCATGACAAGGGATGTTAGGATGGGTTAAAAGATACTGATCATTATGATTCGTTTTTGCTTTCTATACACAGTGGAAAAATATTGTCTACTTGTTAATCTAAACATGTTCTAAACCGGATCAAAGGACACTTGAAAGGTATTTAACCCATCCTAACATTCGACTTGCTACGACTGCAGTGAACATTTAGTTGGAAGGTCGAGTCAAAAGAAAAACCCAAAAGAACTCTCTCCGCAAGCTTACAGCTTTGTTTTTGTCCTAGCTGTAATCCAAACATTAAATGCATGTGCACCTACTACAAAGGTCTCATTCTTCGGTTGAAGCCGCCACCAACCATCAAGTCAAGAGAGACAAAGCCAAGCCAGTCTGCTGTTTTTATGCTGCACGTCCTTATGGTCTTTGATTTAACATTTGGTTTAAATTATTATTGGAAGCTTCAGAATATTTGGATGCAAGGTTTGGTTAGTCATTATTGCACCTATTAAATGCTGTGAATGCCTCTATTCAGAAGTTATCGTATTCTAATGGCTCCTGATACTTTAATAGGCCATTAACTCTCTCATCGGCTGAACTTGTCCAACTCCTATAATCTTAGTGAAATTGCCTTCCACTAGGAGATGCTTGACCATTACATATATCCAAGTCAGAATTTTTTTCTACTCTCGACTCAGAATTATACTATAAAATGAGCCAGAATTTTATATTGGTTGCCTTTTCTTTTTTGTCATTTGACTTGATTGTCCAACCATAAGACTGACTCTCTCCCTCAAAGGTTCAGGATTGTTCTTCTCCTCACACTAGGAAACCATCCATCGAAAGGAGGTCCAACCATTGTTGTTGAGCATGCAGTCTCTGTGGCTGGATGAGGTGATGAAAGGTTGTTGTCATGCCTTGTCTACTCGTAAGGTACAACTTACAAGCTGATCTTCAAGTTTAGCTGTTAACTAATGAGTTCTTCATGTGCACCAGGTGAATACATAGGATAAAGGATGGATGAGCCTGGCAAACATAGGACAAAGGATCCTAATTAGGGAAGGCAACTTGATAAGGTTGGGAGGAGATGACATTTGGTGGGAGGGTAAAATTACCCTGTTACGACATGGTCGATCAGTGTTCAAGTCATGCAAATAACCTTTTTACTTGGAAGGTTGGAGATGTTATTGAAATAGTTGTTACCTTAATGAGGTGGGCATCTTCTTGGACAGCTTCATCAGGCATGAAAACACTGGCCATCCAAAAGACCAAGACATAATTGCTAAATGGGATATGGCTTATGAGACTTGAGATTAGAAATAATGAAATGAAATTCTATAGGCATGGTGTGGATTCTTCACAACTTTGTTGAGAATCATAACTATTTTAACTAAAGTGGTATCGATAATTAGCTTTAAACTATGTGGAATGACAAACGTGCATGCATGTTTCAGAAGCAGAGGGTTTTCCAGCAGAATTTTTAGTTAAACTGGTAAACTATGACTCAAAACTATCTAAGAAAAGTCCCTTTGGATGAAGAAGACAGATTTGTCCACCTCCCACTTTTCCCTTCCTCACTTTCATTGAACACTAAAGCAGTGAATTTTCTCAAGAAAAGAAAGTAATGCATTCTACTTTTACCTAAAAAAATATGCACCAAGGAAGTGAACATCGAGTAAATAAACTAATCCCTGCTATTTGATAGATTCTGTCATAGAGATGCAAAAAGAACATAAAAGGTTTGGGGTGCAATGGCAAATCTAGAAGAATGTGCCTTATCTAAGATCATAGTTCAAGGAACAAACTCACCAGAGCTGTGTCATATCTACATTGCTCAGCAACATTGAGATTTGAGATGCAGTTTTCCCACAGAACATTCTCTTGAAGAATATTGCTTAAGAACTAGCACTTGGGTGCCTTTGTTCTCCAGTTGCTGACAGTCCTGCGATTGAAGCACAAGACACCAAGTCATACACTCATGCATCATGATCTTCCATAGGGCAACATGCCAGAACGGCACATTTACCTCTTCCACGGAAGAAAGGAACATATGAATGGAAACATATTCACACGCGGCGGCCAATTCAAGATGCTCGGTTAACATCGGGAGGAAACCGGATCGTTAAAGAAAAGAGGAATCATTTCGATAAAGCCTACACGCATGGCGGGGCACACGGACACGAAGATCGAATGACACTCCACCCCCCGTCTTTCCACGACCTTCGCGATCATCTCTACCGTCATCGTTGCTCGCGGCATCGTCTCCCTCGTCGTAAAGGGCTCTTGCGGCGGCGAAGTAATTGGCGTCGGAGGAGGAGGAGGAGGAGGGAGGACGCCGAGGGACATCGGTCATCGTCTCTCTCAGGAGCACGCGAGCGAGCAGCTGATGGGCGCGAGGATGAGGAAGGAGAGGTGCGGCGGTTAGAACGAGAGGGCAAGAGCGTTCGCCTTGCGTGAAGACGACGGGCGGCTGTAGGCTGGCAACGGATCCGTTCCTCCTCGCGTCACTCAGACGGTTACGTACCGGCCAAGTCACTGTTCTCAAACTCATTCAGGAGAGTATAACGTAACAGAACGCTATGATTCATCGTAACGGTCCATCGTTTTCATCGTAACAAATGATATATAATAATAATATTATTATTACGTGAATTATAATAGGCTGTTTATGGAAACCAAGAGAGACCAGTCTTGACCGGCATATGATCGTTGACATCGAACCATTTTTAGTAGGTTTGAAACCGTAGGACAACTTCCACCACCACTCGTTCCCGATTAAAACAGCTGCCTCCTCCTCCTTCTCCTCCTCCTCCTCCACCTCCTCCTCCTCCTCCACCTCCTCCTCTCTGTTGCTCTCCGCATCACCCACGGATGGCGGGTCCGATGTCTGTTGTCCTCCTCGTCCTCCTCTTCATTACTCCTCTCTCCTCCCAGCAACAGGAGTTTCCGTCCGTCGAAGTGCCGCAGGCCTCGCCGGCTCCAAGCGCCGATAGCATGAACGTCAGCGTCGGCCATGACAGCAGCGCCGACGCCGCAAGTCCACCGCCCGTTCCGAAGCGCAGGTACCGCGGAAAGAATGGGCGGAAGAACATGGTGCGGGAGTTCCTGCATGCGCATAACCAGGTGCGGGCCTTGGCCGGCGAGAAGCCGTTCGAGTGGGACGACAATCTGGCACGGTACGCGCAGCGCTGGTCGGAGAAGCGGCGGTCCGACTGCGCCATCGTGCACTCGATGGGGCCCTACGGCGAGAACATGTTCTGGGGGTCGGGGTGGGACTGGAGGGTGGCGGACGCGGTGGGGAACTGGGCCAGGGAGCACATGTACTATAACCCGAGCGACAACTCGTGCATGTCGGGGAAGATGTGCGGCCACTTCACGCAGATCGTGTGGAACAGCTCCGAGGCGGTGGGTTGCGCCCGGGTTGAGTGCTTCTCCGGCGGCGTGATCATCACCTGCAACTACGATCCCCCGGGCAACTGGGTCGGCGAGAGCCCCTTCGGAAGCTTGGAATGAATGAAAGCTGCGGAGGCTCCTTTACATGGCAACTACTGTATAGCTATCTATATTTATTATATGCTGTTCATATATATCAAGCCAAGGTGGAATGAATATGATGGAATTGTTGTGGCCGTTTGATCCTTAAACTTGCAACCAAGTTCATGATCATATATATATATACATACATATATATATGTATATATATATATACATATATATATATGTATATATATATACATATATATATATATATATTCATATATATATGTATATATACATACATATATATATATATATACATACATATATATATATATACATACATATATATATATATATACATACATATATATATATATATATATATATATATATATATATGAGTACATGTTAAGTTTTAGGTGAAGGCAAAATGATTGAATATTTTACGGTGCAAGTTTTCTTCCAATTGATTTGAACGGTTGGAAATAAGGAATTAAACTTCAGTTTTAGGATTTGAAAGGATCCATGTATGATATTTATGTATGATTTGAGCATCGCTATGAGCACAACACATATGATATGTTACTTATTCCGATCATTTTATTAATATTTATTGAGTTTAAATCATTCATTAAAATATTTAACATCAAATTAGTAAAAATATAAATTAATTTAAATCTAAGACTAAATTAAAATGTTATTATCTCTTACACTTAAAAACTTACACATTGTGGTTAAGATCCAATATATTTCCGATTGAATATCCCTTTGTGACTAGATATAAAAGTTTACCTTCAATACAATAACAATCGAGGGAGGGGAGGATTTACTGTTTTGAACTACTCACGTTTGCACTCATATATCTCAAGTTACTAACTTCTCTTAACCCTGGGCTTGCCCTTGCGCAAGTCGTACATCGACCTTTGCCTCTCTTCTCTTTTTCCCAAAGAGGAGTTGTAACTTTGAGGACCCTCTGAAGGCATTGGTGCTGCGAAGGCAGGAGGCACTTCGTTTGGTTTTCTCTTTGGAAGCAACTCTTTGGTTTCTCATCCTTTTGGGGTGGAGCACCTTCTTCACAATGATATTCTACTTCTTAGGCTTATTGATGTCAGCATGATGGCTGGACTGAGTTGGGATTAACACCTCGAGCAATGGCTCGTGAATAGTGGCTAAAGACAAAGAGGCCATTGTCATACTCGAAGAGGAGCAAGACTCTTTTTTCTTCAAAGAGTATAGATTCATGCCGGAAGAGGATCAAAATCACAAAAACGTAGAGAATCAAAAAGATAAGTGATGTGAAGTGATGGAGTGTTTCAATCATTCCCCGAGGAGCCAAGCTGAGACCCATGAAGATAAGCCAGGTTTTTCTGACTTACAACTTGGACATATTTTGCTTTCTGCCTCTGCCATGGTAGGTTTCTGCTCATGCGGGTCGGGTTTTCCCGACTCACGGTGCCTCAGGCACATTTTGCCTTATGGTTCCGCTATAGTAAATTTCTCTTCATGTGGGTGGAGTTTTTCTGACTCGCACATCAGGTATATTTTGTCTGGTGTCTTCGTTAGGGCGGATTTCTCTTCACACGAGTTATGTTTTTTTAACTCACACACCTCAAATATATTTTGCCTTGGGCCTTTGCGCTTGGCGAATTTCTCCTCACACAGGTCGGGTTTTCCCAATTCATGTGCCTTTAGTATATTTTGTCTTTGTCTCTGCCTTGGCATATTTGGGCGCTTTTTGAGTCCTTCATCCATTGGTGGCCCTTTGGAATTGTCGTGAAGGAACACTTGTCTCAATCGTGGGAGGAGAGAGATCGGCTCCCTCCCTATAAATCTTCCTTTACCACTTGGGGTTAGATTCATTCTTCAATTTGAACCAATGGAGCCTCCTCAATAGCCTTCTACTTTGCATTTAGAGCATTCTAATTTGAACCAGTGGAGCCTCCTCAAAATGTGTCTGAGGCGTGTGAGTCAAAAAAACTTACGCAGATGAAGAGATATCATGGTGAAGGCACAAGACAAAAATGTGCATGATGTGCATGATTCAAAAAAATTTGACTTGCGTGAAATGAAATATGCTATGATAAAGGCATAAGTCAAAATATGCTTAAGGCGTGTGAATCGAGAAACCCTAGTCCCTGAAAGGAGAAATCTGTTATGATGGAGGCACAAGACAAAATATGCCCAAAGTACGTGAGTCGAAAAAACCCAACCCTCGTAGAGAGAAATTCTTCATGACGGATGCACAAGGTAAAATGTGTTCGAGGTGCGTGAGTTAGGAAAACCCAACACACGTGAGGAGAAATCCGTCATAACGGAGGCACAAGACAAAATGTGACGAAGACGTGTGAGTCATGAAAACCCAATCCATGTAGAGAGAAATCTATCATGGAAAGGGCACAAGACAAAATATGCTCAAGACGTGTGAGTCGGGAAAACTCGACCCATGTAAAGAGAAATCTACCACTCAAAGGCACAAGGCAAAATATGGCCATGGTGTGTAAGTAAAAAAAACTCAATCTGCGTCTGAAGAAATCCACCATGTGGAGGCACAATGCAAAAATATGCATGAGGCACGTGAGTTAGGAAAACTCATTTCCCGTGAAGAGAAATCTATTACGGCGGAGGCACAAGGCCAAATGTGCATGAGACACGTGAGTTGGAAAAATCCGACCCGTATGAAGAGAAATTGACCACGGTAAAGGCAAGTCAAAATGTGCCTAAGGCACGAGTCAGGAAAACCCGACCCGCGTGAGGAGAAATGCGCCATAATGGACGCACAAGCCAAAAATGTGCCTGAAGCACGAGAGTTGGAAAAATTCAACTCCCGTGAAAAGAAATCTACCACAACGAAGGCATAAGGTAGAATGTGATTAAGGCGCATAAGTCGAGAAAGCTTAATCCACTTAAAGAAAAATCTGCCATGACGGAGGCATAAGGCAAAATATGCCCGAGGCATGTGAGTTGGAAAAGTCTGACTCATGTGATGAGAAATATGTTATGGCAAAGGCACAAGGCAAAATAAGTGGAAGGTGTGAAGGTTGAGAGGGTTGACCCTCACCTCCGTCCGAAGTGTGGTGGTCAAGAAGGCCAACCCCCTCCTCCATCCGAGGTGTGAAGGTTGCAAAGAGATAGGGAGGTTAGAAAATTCGACCCCGCTCGACAAACGTGCATCTTTTGACGCCACCAGGGATAAGTCAGCAATGGATCACTACTAGCTACGTTGATGAGGTGATCTTGAATGCACTCGTGTCGGAAACTAAATGCCCCAATTCAAACCCCTCTCGCAAGAGCCCTAAAGCATGCCTTAGGGGGTGAGACAAATGATTTGGAATATACTATCAGCTAATCATTATCTGACTTATAATTATCATGTGAAGTTCTCGATGGAGGGAAAGGATCCAGGTCACCTTTCACCCGTCTACCCACATGGATAAAAGTCAAAAGTAGGTCCAAAGCAGATAGTTCGGCATTGTCCCCCTCTTATCGCCTATGTGGATAAGAGGCTAAGAGGAGACCATTAGGGGCGGTTAGAGATTACCTCATCGTAGAATATTCATGAATATTCTATCTTCTTATTGCTCACGTGAATAAGAGGCTAAGAGGAGACCATTGGGGACGGTTAGAGATTACCTCCTCGTAGAATATTCCCTTCGTGACCATGTATAAAAGCTTGAATACGAAGAGAGAGGGAGGCTTATTTCTTTTGATTATTCGTGTCCGCACTCATATACCTCGAGGTACTAACTTGGGCATTAGGAAGATCGGGTCTCTCGACCTCGCTCTTCATGCAAGTGACACATTAAGAACTTGACGTTTCTAACTCAGAGACACATCAGACAATCTTACGCATGTGGGTCCAAATCATGTCGGACCGAGCACAACATCAATGATATTTTTGCTCATCAAATACTAAGTCAACTCTGATGTCAATTGTTACATACTAACATAATATAATAACTAGCTCAGATTATAGCTTTTGATGTTAATTGTTATAGCATGAAGTTATAAGATAATTAGGTCATTAGCCAATATATTTAAGCTTAAATTAATAGTAATATGTAAAATTTACACCCGTAAGATTAAATTGGAGTGTTTGATTCTTAATCAATTTTGTTGATAAAAAACATTTTTTATCAACAAAAGCTTTGAATGTAAAATTTTTCATGGAGAAGCTAATTCGTTGTGTACATTATTCTTATTAATTCATCTCAAGGTTTGTTAATCTAACGACATTTGGAAGTCTATCTGGCATCTTGATTAATATTTTATTTTCATGCTTCGAGGAGCAAAGCCTTCGGACACATTGATATAAGTTAAAATAATCCATGAGTTTTCTTTTCTTAAAAAGCAAAGAAAAAATGATGTGGACTTGCCGACACATGTCGATACAATAAATCCTTGGGCCCACGGCAGCTGTCATCATCCGATGGTGACGACACCTGTAATTTTCGAGCAATAATTATCTTCACACGAAGACAATAATCTCTTGGTCGGGTCATCCGATGAGCTTTTAGCATTGCAGCCGAGTACGTTTTCCCCGCCATTCTTCCAAACAATCTCCCATGGATGGATGGATCACATCGGAATTCATAATCGAGTCAAATGTCACTGTTGATTCTTTGTACTTTGGGAGATTAATCTTTCATATAAGTATACTCCATAAAGTTGCATGCGCTTGTTTTCTTCTCCATTCAGGGATAAGTTTTTCTCGTCTTCTTTCACATCAGAGTTGGTCATATCTAACCCCTCTGACATAAATTAATTCGCTGCCAAGTTAGTCACGATAAGATCACCTCAATCTTATAAACAGATTCATCAAAATCCAAATTCATCACGATAAGAAGAATAGCCCCAGTCGAAGGTGGTGAGATTGTACCTGATGTGGCCGAGGGCACCGAGTCCCAACCTTCCCAAAGTCCCTCCACACCGGTGGGGGCTTCAAGCTGTGATACATTGAATGCTTCAGCAATAATGCAGCAAAGGTCCATCAGATTGCTTGATGTTGGGAAAAAATTCCACACAAGGAGATAACAAACAAGAGTTGCTATGGACCCACCCATACAGCTAGCTGTTTTCTAGCCATGGAGAAGGTGACCCAAAGCTATTCAATCATTGTTAGGGTAGCCGAGCTCTCCTCAGCAGCTGTGCCCATCGATGCTCTCAGAGAACACCAACAGAGCCGTCACTGGTTTCCTCCAAGATAGTGATGGAGTAGACTCATGGACTACATGAATATATATATATATATATATATATATATATATATATATACATACATAAATATGGTGAAGAGGCATGTTTGAATTACACCTATGACAGAAACAGAGAGAGACATGGACAAATTATTATGCTGTTGTATCTTTGTGACTGGGCCAGGGAGTCCACCAAAAACCAACAAAGCCTTCTAATTAAGTGACTCAGGCAACATGAACTTGGTGCTCCTTTTCCTTAATGCCTACAGTTAGACCTCCTCCATCATCACTTGTACTGCATATTTAAACATCTCTCATCATCCTTCTCGACAACATGATTGATCCCTTTGGAAAAGTTTTGTTTTCACATATAACCACATAAAATGCGCAACCACAAGATCTTCGAGGAGGAAGAAAAAGTAATGGCAGGGAAAACTTGCGCAGAGAGCAGCTGTGGCATCATTCATTCATTCAATTCATGTGCTCTCATTACGACCCACACCTTCCAATCATCTTAAAGTGGCTTGCTTGCCCTCTTCGATTCCGGCTGCTGTCCTCTCTTTTCCCTGACCTTCGCACTCCTCCTTTTCCATCTCACCAACCCTTCCTTCCTTCCAATCTCCAGCTTCTATTTTCCACTGGTTTTTTCGCAGTAGGCTTACTGTAACTCATCCACCATTTTAGTTGGGGGACTGGACTGCATGAGGCCAAAGGCCTCACTCGATCATGTTGGCAAAAGAATCTGAATCTTTTGGATGAGAGAATATGCCTGGCTTTACATATTATGTTCTGCTTTCTGGTGTCGCAAATCTGTTGGCTTGGAACTTTCCATGCCCAAGCTCTTCTTTCAGCCATTATATTTATTGGCTTAGCCATCAGTTCTTTTCTGTGGCTATTATTTTAGTTTAGTTTATCATCGTATAACATTTTGGATAGTGTTTAAAATCTAATGTGAGCTCAGATAAGATAATTATGCTGATTCTAGCATAAACAATCCACACGGAGATTACCTGGATTGTGCCATAAATGATCCTTCAGCAGCTATCTTATCCTTCCTGCAAAAGAAAAAAGAGATCCGGTGATCATGAGATATGACCAGTGTTCACTAGCGACAACTTGCATCTAATTCTATAGTGAAATCACCTCTTTTCCTGGCAAGTTGGTCTGAGAGCTTCCATGTTTGGCCTTCCTCCTCATCTGACAGAAGAAAGAAAAAGAATAAAAATAAATAAAAAGGGTTATGATGTAAGTATACTGATCAACAACAGGAACATGCACTTGTTTAGTCGAATATTAAGAGTAAATGAAAGCATTAAACTTGATATGCATCACCATCTCTGGGTTTCTGTCCTCGCTCCATGATTGAACCCTACACCAACCATCAACACCTCATCACAGTTGCAGGCTGTACAGGTAGAAAAAACTAGGAGAGAAGGTAGTGCTCGAGCCACTTCTGGTGCATCAAACTCTGATGTAACAGCTGCAAATGTCAACACAACATTCAGTAGACCTTCTTGTCTTATTTCCGGAACTTGAAGAAAAGCATCTAATCACATCTGTGAGGAATAAAGTCATCACCCATCTTCATGTCGGCATCCTTTTGCTGGGAATAATACTGTTTTCTAATTTTTGCACTCCAAACACGTCTGATTGAATCAAAGAAGGGAAGAATGATTCAGTGCTCTCACATGTGTTAGTGTGCCCAAATATTCCTGTCATTTACCACTCTGCTCATCTCCATTATTGACAAAGCAAAGCTAGTGGACACTTTTCTTCTGTTCCTTTCTCACTCTCATGCTAAAAGACAAAAATATACGTAATTTCTTTGGCCTAGTGAATTGGCTCTCTCCGTCGTTTAGCTTCTGAGCTCGTCTCTATATATCAGGCACTTCCCCTCACCTTTTCTTGTTTGTTTCTGCTCTCCCTCCTCCTCCTTCTTCTTCTTCTGCTTCGTCTTCCCAACTCTCTTCACTCTTTTTCCGCTGCTGCAACTATAAAAAAGAAAAAAGGAATCGCTGCTCCTGTTACAGAGAAATATAGCATAAGTAGGAGGAGATGTACGCTGAGGCTGGGCTTCACCTGCCGGTCTTCTCACAGGGCTTCTTCCAAGACCACCATGGCCACTACTCCCACCTGCCATTCTCCCAAGAGGACTTCCTCTCCCGCTTCCATGTCTGCTTCCCGGATGGTGCGCCGAGCATGGTAATTCTGCACCCTGGTTAAATCTTTTACCCCCTGTTGATTTGCTCCCCTCGAAGGAATTATCAAGCTGTGAAGGGATTAAGATCAAAGTGTGATCGATACATGGACATGGATGATGTGGTGAAAAAGGACGTCAGGAAGTAACTGCTGATGAAAACTGCAAGCCTGGACTTAGCATGATTCATTGGGACACAGCTGCTAACTCACTTTCCATTTAACAGACATGAACAGGCAAACCTTTGTAGCTAATTGGCATCTTAAAAAGATCTGAAATTATTGCTATCTTTTTAGTTTTGGATGAGTTATTTCAAAGAAAAATGAAGAGATTAAAAGACAACAAGTTTATGTCATTGTGGGTGACATTCCTAGAAGACTCACTACCTCCTAATTGGAGAAATATCAATTTACTATGATTTTATTTGATTTCAACCATTTTTCCCAGAAAAAAAAGAGCTGACTGTTCTGATTAATTCCCGTGGATGATCTCATCATGTGAATTGATGGACCTTTAAAGCATTTGATCAAAGAGGCTTGATGAGGAAAGGATATGAACAATGATGGAGTTGAACGCAATCAATAGATGACAATTGAATTCAACACCTACATACCATTCTTTTGTTGATATTCTTTGCCTAGTGTCCAAGCCCACTAATTGCAATAGAAAACAAGAACCGCTTTTTTCCCCTTCTGCTGGTATGCTATGCCAAGAACTTTGAAGTCTGTTACTGCAAATAGTGAGTACTTGTCATCTAATCCCTTAAGAGACACCGATGTGTTAGCCAATTTTGATCTCAACAATCTCAGGAAATATAGTATGTCTAATTATCATTGGTTTTGATCACTAGTAAATATGTATATCCTGCATGAAAGAGTGCTTATAAACTTGAAGCAGTTGAAATCAGCATGAGCATTAAAAAGATGACAAGATCCATATGAAAATTGATAATTCCAATGCATTGTACAATTTCTCTTTGAAAATACCTGTCGAAAAGTGCAGCAGAAAGCTACTTATATGTGTAAAACGAGCATGTATTTCATTGAGGTTAGCATATTTTTATTCTAACTTGGTTTCTGTTGTAGGGCAACATGGCACAAGCTCCTACTGTATCAGAATATGATATGGGAGGAGAAGGAGATCTATTCAAAGCTCCAGAACCCATCTTAGAAGGGCCAGCATTGGATCCTATGGCAGCTGCCATGTCCATTATAACAGGTGGAGCTGATATCATCGCAGAAACAATTAAAGTTGCAGATGTAGAGGCAATACAAAATGATCAACTGAATGACATATATTATGAGTGCAAGAAGGACCTCCTGGAGAAGTCAGAGATTGCAGATTCAGTTTCTGAACTCTTAGATGTAAAGATTCCTGCTGTCCAAATGGATGGAGTCCCAATTTTGGAAAAACTAAGCTATGCAGAAAGAGCAATGCAGAAAAGTGTGAGTTCTGGGTGTTTAAATTCAGTGGAGTGGGTCCCAAGTTGCACTATGAGACCAGACTTGCTTAATTTTCAGGAATTGGATTTTGAAGCTGCACTAGGACTGAGGAGAGCATATAGTGAGGCAGACATTCAGGTTTTAATGAACTTTTAGCTTCTTTGTTGCTTTCCTTTCTATTTTGCAATTTGTCATTTTGATATTAGTAAAATTACGACTAAGACAGTAAACAACCTTAAACAACTTTCTATCAAAACTTCATAAGTCACTCATAGCATTCGGACAGTGTTCATGTTATACAATACCATCCAAGTATTTTCAGATTGACTCGTAAAGGCACGTCTTATGAAAGAAGAAATTTGTCAAGGAAACTATAATAGTAGATTGCTAAGTGTGAGTTTGAGTTTTGCCATAATATTGGAATAAAAGCCTATGCCGAAGCCATACGTGCCAGAAATGAAGGTGCTTAGTTTCTATCAACTTTAAATTTACCAGCTTCTCTTTTCCTAAGTAATCTTTACTTGAACTTTCATTACTGTTGCTTGTCTCCCTTGAAGTAGAAGGTACCAACATGATCTTAGTCCGTATAGAGTGTGTCATGCTGAAAAAGGTTGCATCATTCCTTTCTTTTTTCTTGGTCATATGGGTTCACAAATGAACACCGAAAAATTAAGCAATATCAACTAGTGTTTGTGATAAATGACCATCACAAACATAGATTTAAGAAATATGAACCTAGAGTAACCTTATTTCAAACGTTATTGTAAGAGTTTGCGGAACCACAAACAGAATATCAAAGAATCAGAACTTCCATACCTTTTCAGAACTTCTCTGAGAATACTGTGGGTCCATCAAGGCACATCACTTGTGTGCAAGCTTCCACTGCACCTGTTTTTCCACAGGATGAACAAGATCAATGATTTGGAGTTTTTGTGGCAGAATCTTGGCAATAAAAACACAAGCACTGGAAATGCAACGGCCATAACTTCCTCTGTCAAGCAGCTCCCAAGCATCAGTGATCTTAAGACGGAACAGCGGAAGCAAAAGCTTTCCAGGTACAGGGAGAAGAAGAGTAAAAGAAACTTTGGAAGAAAGATCAAGGTATGCACTTGAGTTTTTATTTATTTATCCATTTTTTTTCATAAGTAAAACATTAAGAACAATAACAGTGAATTACTTGTACTTACAAAATAGCAAGTGATAATCTGTTTCCCTCCCATCAGACATTCTGGATGTTGGCAAAGCACTACACTCTACAAAAGGTGAAAAGAGACTGGAACTTCAGTATACAAATCTCAACTGACAATGAACTATAGGTTTTTTGTCATAATCAGTATAAAGCATGGGAAACGTAGCCTCTGAAAAACCTAAATACAAATATTAGCAATAAAGTCCTCTAGTTCTGCTGCACCTGTTGTAGTGAACTATATTATTAATCATCCACACAATTGAGTCATTGTTGTGGCTCAGAGAACTGCCCAGAAATGACCCTTCTAATTTTCACCAAGCTTCAAATTCTTCTCATCTCTGAAGACTTTTGGGTAGATCCACTAGAAAAAGTAGTTTTCTTTACATCATTAAGTAGTAATATGCTACATATAGACTACAGTGTTACCTCAAGAAAGGGAATGCCAAGAACATGATGAATGCATAAGACGCTCCTCTATCTACATTTTACAGCTTTCAAACAAAACTACAAGTTAAAGGAAGTGATTACATTTTGGTGTGCGTGCAGTATGCTTGCAGGAAAGCTCTTGCAGAGAGTCAGCCCAGAGTACGGGGAAGGTTTGCAAAGACTGAAGAACCAAACATGTCCATCCAAATCTTGAACTAGGCCAGAAGTTGAAGCTGGCAGAAGCTTAGAGAGCTCCTTCGTCTAAAGAGAATCATGAGAACACACGCCACCAAACAGACATGATCATTAACAATATATTGATGTAATAACCTCCTCTCTCAAAGATAGAAAAGAAGCTGTAGTTCTGTGCAGTAGTTTGAATAAGAGGAAATCGTTGTCCTGCTTGCTTTCTTATGCATTCAATTCCCTGATACATATATGGCACATCAAACTCTATATTACCTGTGTGCATTAAGCATCCCATTTGAGCGTTCTACTTTAGTCTGACCTATTTCATTCTTTGTTGCATGGGTTCCAGTGACCAGTTCAGAGGTCTCAATGGTCCTGTTCAAGCATTGTGTTTCCCAGCCACCAAGAAGGATTCTGATAACTTGTCCTGCATCACATGCACATGCACACACATGACTGAACCATCAGTGTTCCTCTTTTTATTTCTAATTGAAGTTAGAAAATACTAAACATATCAATAAACAAATTTAAGAGTGGGGGAGAATGTCTAAACGAAGAGCAATTATGAGAGAACTAGAATGTTGTCCACCAGAAATCTTGCTTCTAGCACCAACAGATCAGTTGCATGCACAGTGCTCCAAACAACAAGTTGTGGGCACTTCATCAGGAGACGATCCTTGATGATATTGACTAGATGATACCAGCTGATACAATCGCAGACTTCCACTATCCAATCTGCGGACAAGAAAGCTGACCCACTATAAATTATCAACCTTGGGACAATCCAATTGGGATAGACAACATTAAAACACAGTCCGTCCACATCCCAGCTAGCTCAAGCAGCTAATAATCACTCAAATAAAAAAAAACAAAACCAATCACCAATAAAAGAGGAAATGAAGTTGGGATTAGAACAAAATGGATCAAGAATAGGGGCATCCTGAAATCGCAGAGGGGTAATGAGGGTTTTCCTCCCCAATATTTGTACACAGCCATTGTTACCAAATTGCTTGCTAAGACATCATCATCATTGTCACGACTCGCGCTTGATAGGCTAACTGGCCTATCAACTTCGTTTGACCTAAACGACTGGTCAAAATACTTAAGTTGAAGTTGATAGTAGTACACTCACCAGTGGTGGCTCTATGCTGTGACGAATCCTCTAACTTCATCCATGGGTAATCCTTTCCTACTCGAGCCCCCTCACCATGCCCAAATACTAGGTCGACTTTGATAACAAATGTCACAACCCGAGCCTGATAGGCTAATTGTCCCATTAACTTTACCATGGTGCATGATAGTAGTATTAACTGGCCCATCAATTTCGTTTGACCTAAGTGATTAATCAAAATGCTTAAGCTGAGCTTGATAGTAGCATACTCATCAAACCCATATAAGTCATTTTTAGTCTTATTCCACTTTCGATGTGGGCCTAATCGAGGTGTTAGAATCAAGGCTCAGCATAGCCCAGATCAAACCTTAGCATGGTGCATGTGAGGCATAGCTCAGTGGTGGCTCTACACCATGATGAGTCCTATAACTCCATCCACAGATAATCCTTTCCTACTCGAGCTCCCTCACTATGCTTAAATACTAAATCGGCTCTGATACCAAATATCACAACTCGGGCCTAATAAGCTAACTAGCCCATCAGTTTTGGTTGATCTAAGCTACTAGTCAAAATAATTAAATTGAAATTGATAATAGTACACTCATCAAACCCTTATACTCATCCTCTACTCCATGTTTACAAAAAGTGCAACCAAGGTCCGTGGCCTCTTAGTAGCTACCACTTATGTTGGATGTCTCATTTGAAGATTCATCAAGACGAAGCAAAACAATCCAAGAAAAAGATGATCAGCATGACTAATGTAACATATATTAAGTTGTCTATGTGAAAGCACATTCATAGTAGATCGAAACCAGTACTCGTACACATTAACAATTACCAATTTACGTGTCAGGGAACATATGATCACATAAGAAAAGGACGGTAAATACCACACCAAACATTGTCCTGATTTGCTATATTATGCATTTAAACTACTTGTCTGATAATTTGTCTGGCTAGCCAGAGGTAAGAAAGTTTTTATTAGTAACCTTTACTGTAATGCTACCATCAGCAAACTTACGTTGAATTAAAGTAGCAACCCTGCATAAGCAGCCATCAATCAGCAGACAATAAAAACCCTCTATAACAGAATGAGCTGCCATAACCATAGGAAATGAGCTTGTTTTGGTAAAATAAGAAGTTGGTTCTTCCCCAAAGCATTCTATGATATTCAATTCAATAATTCCCTAAAGGAAAATAAGTGACTTTGATTCTTCCCAAAAGCAGTTCGTGGTACCCATATCAGATTGAACTAATCCACAGGCAATATTCAAAGAGAGCAAAAGTCAAAATCCCTAAGGATGTGATGGTCATCTTCATGTCTCTAGACTCGATATGTCATCCCGCCAAACAGCTCAATAACCCGCTAAAACTGCAGTGCATAATAGCATGCATGTGAAACACATTCCACAGGAACAGTGACGATACATTTTTGTTATCTTAGGGGAAAGCGATGTTTCTAAGAAGCATAAAGAAATGCATATAAAAAGGAAAGCTCCTTGGCTGGCTCGATGCACTGCCATGTTGTGAAGAATGGCAGCAGTTTTCTTGGAAATCTCTGTTGTATTACAGGAACTGCTCCAATGAAAATTCAGTCTTCACCATGCAAATACGACATGTTGATTAAGTAACAGTCATCCAAGATATTGCCCCTTCCTAACTGATCTAAAATTAGAGTCTCAGCAAACTATTTCTATAATTAAAAAATAACTCAACATGCGGCACTCACTATATTAAATGATTATGCAATGCTGTATAAGAACTTCAGGAGCATTACATCAAAAGCACTAATATATTTCTTCCGACACATTTGGTATCGTCGTATACCCTGCTTGCAAGTCGTAAAGTGTAATTGCCCTAAAGAACTAAAAAGGAAAATTACTCTCTGCATCAATAATTCTACAATAAGCAAGATTTTTGTACGCGCCCTGAGAACTTTATAAGTGATCAGCCAAATCAAACCTGATTCAATTTTGTTTTAGAATCCAAGTGTGGATCGTGGGCGCATCGTTCGTACAAATGTAGGGAGGGCAAAGCAAAGCATTAGAAGATCGAAGGTCCCAAATCGCCGCTTGATCTCAGCGATCTCCGAACGCAAAGCAATCAACAAATTGTAAAGGTTCCCAATTCCGTAGCCGAAAGATAGAAACATGTATCGCAGCAGGGGAGAAGAGATATCGCCTTGTCAACAGCACAAAGGATCCCAGCGACGAGGATTAGGGTTCAGAGGGTAAATGAACGAGAATAGAAGAGGTATCTTACGATCTCTCGAGCGGTCTCCCTCTCTCTCTCTCTCTCTCTCTCGCGCGCGCTGCCGACGTTGTGACATCGTAAGGGGAACGCCAGCGCAAAGCCGGGTGACAGGTCTTCCGCAAGTTTCGTACGTGGTTAAAATGACCCCAAGTTGACCAAGCGCTTGACCAAAATTATATATATATATATATATATAACTCGTTTTTTAAATTAAAAATATTTTTTGATACCCGTTATCTATGTGCAAAGCTTTTTTAATTATTAATTCAACTATCTCAGAACCACATCACAACGTTGGATTTAAGCGGAGAAACACCACCCGCCACGGCATCGCCCGCATTGTGGGACCCGTTGGTCCTTTGTGTGCCTTCCCAACCATCACCAGCGTACGGATTGAGGGTCCACCAACAGTGGCGTCGACAAGTGTTTGACCGCATTTAATGAAACCAACCACAGTTAAAAACCAATGAAGTGTTTCAACGAAGAACCTTTCTCCATTGATGGAAGCTGGAGATCTGTACAAGAACTCGGGGGTCCCTTCCGCCCGAAGCCCAAAAACTAGGGTATAAATGTGGAAAACGAAACCTAGGGAACAAAACGAAGAACCCCCATTCACATCTGAATTCGGAAGCCATCACTCAGAGTCGCTGTCCACGCTCTCCATCCCCTTCAACCCCCTCCGCCTCTGCACAATGCAATAACAATTTATGATCGTCGGCAGCACAAGGGAGTAACAGATCTCGATGCGGAAGTAAAAGATGGAGAAGGCGAGGCCGGCAATCAATGCGGCTACCACGCTTGATGTCAGGGGCCCACGTGCCGCGGAAGAAAAGCCCTACCCCTTCTCTCGAGGGCAAGTAGTGGAATTGATTTCGATCATGCATGCCGTATGATGTCTTGAGAGGATATGATGATGGATTTGGCATCCGAGAAGAGGTGGCAACAAAATTAATAATTGGAAGAGCCAAGATTGTTCGTGACGGGGAAATGGGAGGGAGGAGAATGGGGGAGAATTGAGTGTACCTTCTTCGCGCATTTCTTCTCCCTCACCTCATACCGTCCTCTCGTCAAATCTGACAGCCACATTCCTGGAAAACAATACTGCATCCAACAATCCCGGAAAAAATACGTGTGATCATTGTTGGTTTTGTAACACAAGAAGCAAGAACCAGAAAAAGGACAAAAATTGTCGTTGGGATCGAAACCTGGAGGGTCCTGTCGATGTTCTTGGCCCTCTTCTTGGGCCGCTGGGGGAGCTTGGTGCCCTTCATGGCGAGGAAGTCGTCCTCCTTCTCCTTGCGCGAGAGGGAAAGGTAAATCTTAGGCCACTCGAGCCGATCCAGGCTCAGCTTCTCCGCGATCGCGACGGGAGCCGATTCCTGATCCGCCGGCGGCTGCTTCGGCCCAGACGGATTCGCCGGGGCGTCGGCGGCGGCCCTCGGAGCTTTATCCGGCGGGGCAGGTGGCGATCGCTTTTCGGATCGAGCTGGGCCGCCCGATTGGTCTTCGACGCCTCTGATCATGGCCAGAAAAAGAGAGACGATCTCAGAACTGGGAAACAAGGAAAAAGGTGGGGGAAAGGCGCACAATGATCAACTCTATGAATGAGAGGAAATTGTGGAAGGTGGTATTTATAGCCCTGCAAGGCGAAAGCAGGCCTCGACACCCAAGAAAAAATAATGGAAAAGAAACAATTTAATGCCCAATAAAATTAAAGACAAAAAAAAGAAAGAATTGCTGCTTAAAGAAAAAGTGGGCAGTGGATGAAACAAAATAGAAGGTAGACGTGGGCGGGTGGGAAGACGCGTGAAAAAAATGAAAAAACAAGGGTCTGATTATAATTAAAAGCGAAAGATTAGAATTATAGGAGAAAAGCAAAAAAAACAAAAGCTACTTTACTTAAACCACCCAAAGGTTTACCAGTGGGGAGATGGCAACAGCATCATGGAACAGGGAAACTAAACGAGGGGGCAAGAGAGAACGCATACTTCTTGGCGTCGCGGACGGGGACAGACGTCCTCAGATGGCCTGCCCTGGGGCACGAGCCGCCACAGGGCGGAGGGGGCATCGCCGCCGACGACGATGCAGGCGATCTGCGCGGGATCTTGAGCAACTGCCTCAAGTGGGCGGAAGTCTCGTCGCCTGACGCTCTCGGCCGGCGGGACCTCTTGTTGTGTCCCCACTGCAGGATGACGTCGCTGCCCACACCGTTGACGGCGTCATGGTGCTGCCGACTCTGAGATTTGGGGGAGGCGGAAGGGGGTGGTTGCCTCTCGGAGTGTGTAGCCGCCGCGGAGGTAGGAGAATCGGAGGGGGCGGGGATGCGAGGGAACTGGTGGTCTCGGGACGGGGATGGGCCGGCCGAAACCGACACCGATCTCGCTCTTGTGGATTTGCCTTCGGAAGGAGAGTGGTTCGCGTTTCTGCTACTGTGGTCGGCGTCGTCTTCATTGCTTGTCCTCAGGATGGGCTTCCTTCCATTGCCGAGGGGAAGGACATCCGGGCTTACTCTCTGGTATCTGCGGAACAACGATGACAGAATTGGGGTTAGCACCTCCCTCGTGCCTTCATAACTCAATGGAATATATCAAGTGACCACATAAAGTCCCAAAGCCAGGGATTAAAGGCAGCAATCTGAAGAGAAACAAGAATTGCAGATCGCATAGAGACGACATCGAAACCATTCGATCAGAGGAAGTAGGACGTGTGCACTTGGATCCGTCCATGTTCCATGAATCAGTTGCAATCCAAAATGGTATGAAGCAAATCCATACATCCATGTCCGAGAAGAAGAGCAAACATGAAACGGAGAAACAAAGCAGCAGTTCCAACTGCTAATTACGAACTCGGAGATCTCTCGACCACACAAGCTGAACGAAACCAAACACATCGCCAGGCGAAACAAGGAAGAAACTCGTCAAGAAGAGAAGTGAAAACAGATTGATGAAGGCGGGGTAGATCTAACAGATTTAGGTGACCTAAGACAAAACCTTCGGCTAATTCAAGGGAGAAACCGAAGTAAGAGGTTTGTGTCAACCAGAATTGGCGATCTGCCTTACGGTTCCGACCGCAAGACCATCGAAACTGGACATCGGAAACTGCGGGGAAAGAGCAAACGCAGATCAAAACCAAGGGTTCCATAGTAGAAACAAATTTCCAGCACTCGATCAAAGAAACCGTGAAGCTCCTAAACGCCAATGGAACCGAACAATAACTCAAACTGAAGAACACAAAGCGTTCAGAAAAAAAAAAAACACGATTCTTTTCCGACGACACTTGAGACGAGAACAACGGGCGGATAGCCAAGGGGAGGAGGCATTTGGGGACCAAATCCGAAAACTTGCGCAGAAAAGGAAGATTTGAATCTCCAAAAACAAAACCAAAGCCAACAACAAGCCGAAGGAGGGTGAGCGGCCTGTGTCCGGAGACGGAAGATAGGAACTGAACCAAAAGAGGCGATCTGCCGGCAGATACCCGCCGGCAGAAAAGGCACAATCTCCAGCCGGAGAAACGCTCTTCGCCTCCATCGCCTCCGCCTTCTTTTCCTCCTCAGCTGTCTCCTTAAAAATACACATAGAAAAATTCGATCTCAAGCAACGACAAGTTAGGAGAAAGACTTCAAGATTAGGTCATCATCATTAAACCAACAGACCGAGGTAGCCACAGAGCCGAAGAGAGGAGAAAGACGAAGAGAGAGAGAGAGAGAGAGAGAGATTGGAGCAAACCTCATCATTTCCAATGCGCAACTGAATCAACAAGCGGTTCTTTGCACAAATCTCACGACCCTCCCAGACGTCTCACATGGATCAATGGTGTCCTCCAAAAGAACCAGAATCCTCTGCTTCTCTCTTATCTCTTCCGCTCTCAGAACGAAGCTTTCCGCCGCATGGATTCAAGGAATAAGAAGAAGAAATCCATCTATAGAAATGGAGAACAAAAGAGCACGGCGTCGCTCTGGAGGACGAGAAGGGGAGGGAGAGAGAGAGAGAGAGAGAGGAGGGGGGGGGAGGGATCGGAGAGAGAGAGAGAGAGAGCAGCGAAGGTGATGAAGAAGAAATGGGGTTAAAATAGCGGCTTTACCGAACACCAAATTCCCAAACAACCCTTTATCGCCGCGTCTAATTTCCGGTCTACCCTCCCGGACGAATGCTCGTATCGTAAATAATGCAGCGAGACGAGGGTGTTTGCGCAGCTAAAGAATCCCACCCTTGTTTCGTGTCGTGGGTTGTTCATGTCCTCATAATGACTTACTGCATACCAGTAGAGTTGTTCTTATGCGGGTGATAGATCTACCGTCCGTATTCCCCGATCCCGGATCTCTCGGTCCTCCCTGTCCTTCGCTTTGTCCACATCCACGGGACACCCAACGCAGAGTCCGTATGCAGACGGCCACGATTGACTTCAGAAATGGTGAAAATGGCTGATGGCACGTAGGTGTCCCGTATTTATACACCGTATCCGCAAGATAGTATAAATGGCTAAAAATATTTTTAATTTGTTATTTTCAACATTAAAAAAAAAGACATCGAGTTGTTGATTCCCGTATTTTTATATTTAACTATAATTTATAAATAATAATTAATATAGTAATAAAAATTATTATATTACATCTATTAAAAAATAACGTTGACATCCTGATTATTGACCGTGTGCACAAGATTATCTGAAGTATTTTCGAGATAAAAATATTAGATTTTTTATATGTCATATATACAAAATCATGGTCGGTAGAGATTTTTCGATCCAATCGTTCGAACATCGAAGTTAGTAGCATGAGATTAGTTAGACGTGAGAGATCAAATTATTATTCTTTATTTTCATTGTGTTGGATATGAGTATTTATACTTAATCATAAATAAGTAAAATATTTTTTGAAATATTCTTAGAGAAAATAATTTCTAACTGTCTTTAGCAACCTCCCATTGATTTTTTATATACATGATGATAAAGAGGGGGGAAGGGATAATCTATAACTACTTGGACCCGAAGATTGAGATTGGGAGAGGTTTCGAATGTCTGACTCAGAACATTCGAAACCTCTCCCAGAACATAATATCATTAGGTAGATTAGTGTGAGCATTAGTAATAAAAATATAATTCTTTATTTTCATTGTATTGAATATAAGTTTTTTATTACTGATCAGAACATAATATCTTATGAAATATTATATGAAAAGATAATTTATAATTGTCTCTAATAATATCCCAGTAACCTTTTATTCACAAGAGTGAGAGGGAAGATAATTTACAATTGCTTGATCATAAAGACCGAGGCCAATAGTAGTTTTTCATCATAATCCTTTGGACGCTAAAATTAGTAACATAAGATAGATAAGTGTGAACTCGAATGATTAAAAGGTGATTATCACTTTCATTGTGTTAAATACGTGTCTTTATACCATAACTTAAAAGAGGTAGAATTTTTTTGTAAAATGTTTGGTAACCTCTAGTCGACTTTAAGAATCTTTTCTTAGTCTTTTATTCATATGAGCAAAAGAAGAGGACAACCTATAACTACTTAAACTTGAATATCGATATCAATAGAGGGTTTTTGACTCGATTTCTTCAATTTCAAGTTAGTAACTTAAAGTAGATAATAAGTATGAACACAAATAATTAAAAGACATTTATTTTCCTTTTTATTATATTGAAACTGAGTTTTTATATTTAGTCATAAAATGATAAAATATTTCATAAAATATTTTGTGTAAAGATGATCTTAATTGTCTCTAATAATCTTCTCTTAACATTTTAATCATACGAACGATAAGGGAATGACAACTTATATTACTTGAACCCTTGTTTACGTAGACAAATAGATTAATGATGATATTTATCTTCTTTTTTTAGTTTGAACATTATACGAACATAATATGCCGAATAAGGATACACTGATAATATTCTCTTTATCAATATTAAAATAAATATATTTATTACATACTATGAAGGGAGTACATAGTAATTAAATAATATTATAATATAGAAAGTAATGTTGTTAGGTAGTTGATCAACACCAATATAGAATTATTTTTCTTCATACAATATTTATCCTTAAATCATCTAAAAAAATACTTGTATACCTGAATAGAAACCATCAGTTGGATCAAAAACAATCAAACATCAAACGTTCAACTGATTACTTTCACTAATTAAATGGTTTTACTATCAAAGAAATTGAGGACTCCCCAAAACATTTATTAGTTATTAGAGAACGTTGATTTTTTCCCATAACTTTTAAGTCATTTATTACAACAATGAAAAAGAAAAAAAAATGTTATATTTGTTTATAATATTATCTGTATTTAAATTTTTTAACATAATATAATTTGTTTTATGGTGAGCATTCGTAAGCACAATGTAGTATTTCCAATGGCAAGATCACAATGAACTGAAAGGAATACATATTTCATCAGTGATTAGGTTTCCATTGATGTTAGTCATACAAATAAAAAAAATGATGGAGATTGATTTGCAATTGTGGATAAGATGAGAGGAGTCGTGAGGATTTGTAGTGGTAGGAAGGAATATTGACGAGTTTGGCAGCCTCATCTCCGCCAACCATGAATCAGATTCATGTAATAGAGATAAAATCAAAGAATATACTGACGATGTGTTTTACTTAAAAAGAAACCAAAGAATAAAATCATAAAAAATTGGAACAACATATTCAATATTGTATGTTTTGACATGGCATATGTATCCGTTGCCATTAAAGTTGATTGATTAACTATTTCTAATTTATGGTTCACATTAATTTATTTAAGATAAAAATATAAATATTAAAATATTAAATCTCTAAAAAAACGCAAGTATTTATTTTTTTCTACTATATTTTTATTTTATTCTCAAATAATATTTATTTTTAAAAAGATAATATTATCCTTAGCATTCACCTTGTCGGTTCTCGCTACTATCACGCTTTTGATCATTGCCCTCGAGTGTTCCTTTGTCCTCATCTATCTCGAGAAGGGCGTCCTTAATCCCCTCATTTATCTTCTATATGTTAAGTCTCTTACATTGATAGGTCATGCGATGAAGGGGATAGGGAAAGTCTTTATCATGACAATCTTATTTTCTTTCGTTGTGGTTGATACATAAGATGCATGGAAAAGCTCCCTAATAATCAATATGATGAAAATTAATAAAATTCTACAGAGAACGAGATTATCTCGTCATTTAGAAAGAAAAGACTAAGAAATAAAAAATTAAGATTTATTTTTCAAAATTTAGCCATAAGTTTAAAAAAATTAATAGTTGGAAAAAAGAAAATATCAGTATAAAATAGAGGTTCAAATAACAATAAATTATGGTAAACAATAGAGATTAACTAAAATGATATATATCTGATTTTAAAGGGATATATATTTACATAAGTGTGCTAATATTTACTTAGTAGATATAAAATTTCTAATACGTAAAAAATATATAATTCATATATATATATATATATATTTATTTATGCGTGAGAGAGAGAGAGAGAGAGAGAGGAGAGAGAATTAAATTAGTGATGGGTTCTCTCAATCCGCCTCGTACGTCTGCCTTTCCACTGCCCTCTCTCACGCCCTCTCTTTGCGGTCCCAAGAAACCTCCATTGATCAAAGGAAACCCCATCAAACCTTCAATTTTGGTATGGGCGATGGATGGGAGACTGGGGTTTTGTTCTATCGTTCTGGATTTTAGGAGGTTGGATGAACAGCCGATTCGAACGGGATCGCTATCAAGCACCGACTGCAGCAATTCTTGGTCGGAGTCGGCTTCTGTTATATTCTCGTACAGTGGGCAAGCTCCTCTCTTTCCTTCAATTCATTTCTTTCTTGGTGCTCATGGATGTTGATCGCGAGGAATTCCGTTATTTGTACACGTTTTTCGCTTTTCCTTTCTCTTCTGTTAGGGTTTTTGTCATTCGTAGCACGTGAATCGTCTTGAAAGCAGAATTCATCCCTTTTTCATGCTTTTCTGTCGCAATGAATGGCATCAAGTGAATCGTCACCAGACGGATTGCTGCTAGGCGACTTTACCTCCCGATGACTTTGAGTCATTTGAGTCTCATCAAGAACTTCACAACGTAGGATTATCAACGTGTAACTCTTTCTGGATCGATTGGTCTATGAATACTTTGATACGTGGTTGATTGAATGCTCTGGTTGCAGTTGCTTGTGTTGTTTTTGTTTATTTTGTAGGCATGCTAATATGTTTCAGCTCATCAGTTCTGTATTTGATTGCCTTCCCCAATCTGTACTAACTCAAGCTGTTTGATTGAATTCCAGATGAGTGATGAAGCATCATCCAGGAGTACGAAAGTGGATCCAACTTTCTAGGGTAATGGTGACTTAACTAGAAGATGGTAGCCCCGATCTTGGACATGGACTGTCTGGTAGTCCATGTGAAATCCCTGTACTTGCTTCAATTTCAAAGTAGGCACCAGAAAATTGTCAAAGAGCATGAACAAAATTACTTTTGGCTGTCAATGATTGTATTACTTCAGCAAATGATCCATAGGTAAGCACAGGTGTTTGCCTAGCTGATTATCTAGTCCAGAACTAAGTAGGGATCCCAGAGGCAACATCTACCTCATCCTCGACGATAACCATGCCATCATTCATGAGGTCAGGGGAGATAAAGTCCAGTGCTTCCAGTAGATGTAGTAGGGTCATAGGTAAAGGTTTAGATAGTTACTCTTATGCATCCATCAAGTGACATACTAGGATTAAATTTTGCTGGGAGGCCTTTCATCTTTTAATTGCAAAGGATTTCCTATCAACTTAAGCCACTTCGAGCTTGTTAAATGCATAGGTCATGGAGACATTGGCAGTGTTCACATAGCTGACTCAAGGGAACAGGAACTGACACCATTTTTGCAAAGAAAGTGATGGACAAGGCTTCCCTAATTAGTGAAACTAGGCTAATTTGGGCACAAACAGATTCATACTGCATTCCCATCAAGACAGAAAAAATATTTCTCCTTGGTTGTCGAGTGTCGTGGTGGTGGTAATCTTCATTCTCTTCATCAGAAGTGACCTGATAAAGCTTTTAACTTGGAAGAATGCATGGTAAGATTCTATTTTAATTAAACATACATAATTTTGGCTTTATAAAATGTATGAAAGACCATAATTCCATAACAGAAAATTCATATTGATATATTTTGTTTGATTGAATTTACTATGTGAAAATTAGTTATTGTTATCAGGTGTTAATGTAGATTATTAAATGACCATTTAATTATTGTGTTTACTCTTTTTTAAATCTAGATCATATTTTTGTTTTACCTTTTCATCCTTTTATGATTTTTTCTACCATGATCCTTACCTACATCTTTTTCTTTAAATGATTCATGATACTAACTTGGTTTGAGGAAGTTGTGTGCAAACCAAGACTTTGGACTTGCCATTATTAAATATTAAGTGAAACAAGATCTTTACAACAAGTACGATTCATCTTACATTTGTTTTGAGCTGTGCTATTTCATTTAGTGTGCATAATTCTATAAGGTAATTTTCTTTAACAAGGGAAATTTGAACAGGGAAGAGTGTTCATAGTTGCAAGGATAAGTCAAATATGTTTTTTCTGGCATCTGTTTGGAAATCCTAAATTAAATCATAAGTGTTGACCAATGTCATTCCTTAAACTTATACTTTCTTGCGAAGAAGGTTCATGAAAAAGTAGAACAAGGTTTAGCTATGAAGATAATGCCATGCTTTTGCTAGTTTTCGCTATATTGTGATACTACTGTGGTAATATGGATTCATCCTTTCATGGCAGAAATCTGATTGCTGTGGTTACTAGCTATAAAAATGAGCTGCCTTTATTGTGTTTGGGATGCGAATGATAGTAGTTTTGTCACGACCCGAGCCTAATGGGTTAACTGGCCTATCAACTTTGTTTGGTCTAAACCATTGACCAAAATGTTTAAGCTGAAGTTGATAGGCCAGTTAGCCTATCAGGTCCGGGTCGTGACATTTGGTATCAGAGTCGACCTAGTATTTGGGCATGGTAAGGGGGCTCGAGTAGGAAAGAGCTACCCCTGGATGAAGTCAGAGGACTCGTCATGGCGTGGAGCCACCACTGGGCTACACCTCACATGCACTATGCTAGGATTTGATCTAGGCCATGCTGGGCCTTGACGAGGACGTCAAGCCTTTGAGTGGGGGAGATTGTAACACCTCAAATTAGTCCCACATCGGAAGTTGGCAAGATTAAGATTGTCTTATAAGGGTCCGATGAGTGTACTACTATCAGCTTCAGCTTAAACATTTTGGTCAGTGGTTTAGACCAAACAAAGTTGATAGGCTCGGGTCGTGACAAGTTCTGTCATGGTCAAGCAAGGAAAGAAATAAGTGGTATATAGATAGATGCATTAAAAGAGAAGAGAAATATGTATTAGATGCATTAAGGTTGTGAAATGCTTTAAGAAACTTTTTCAACCATCACGAAAAGTATGTATGAAGCATCAAATGATAGCCGATTATCATTAGCTAACTTAGTTGATGATATCATCAATTAACCTTAGGTATGCTTTAGCTTCTTTAGACAAGTTGATGATAGACTGTTTTTTATTTTTCCTTGTGTTATTACCTTTGTTGGTTACTTTCTATCCATTTTATGAGTACTATCATTTACTTTTGGGATAGCTTATTTGGAAATGTTTGTGGTGCACTAGATCAAAGAAATTATGTAGGCACATTTAATGAAAAAACACAATAAATTATGACAAGATAAAAGAATTATGGTTAAGGTTTAAAATTTGGTGCCATACATATCTTGCGGGACCAGTACAATACTCGATACGAGTGGTATATTGACCTGTACCATCCAATACAACTAAAAAATAATTAAAAAAAAATGAAAATGATCAGTCCTAGATCAGGTACTAGTCCTTGGTCAGGCGGACAAAAACCAATTGGTATGGTACTGGTCTGCTCATTTGGGACCTTGATTATGACATTTTTAATATAGTCAAAAAGTGAATCTGTTGAATGTGACCAGAATCAGACATAAGGTTTTGATTGTGGATGAAAATGTGGCAAGTGATGTTGCATATCTGTATTTGCACTAATACTAATGCCAAATCCTAACATCACTAATTTAAGAAAAAAATTGCAGTAATGCTATTTTGTTTGTGCAGACGTAAATGTTGGTCTATGCAATGCTAATCACTGATTTTGCATTTGGTAACTTCAGTAAGTCTCTGGGAAGTAAGTTTAGATGTTTTCAGAACTCCTTTGAATTCATGTTTTTCTATGACTTCATCAATGGCTTTAGCACATTGATACATTTCTTATGCATATCTTTTCTGTCCAACAGCTTTTATGCTTCAGAACCGTTGCTTGCAATTGAATATCTGCACTTGATTGGGAAACTATATAAGGAATTGAAGCCAGTGAATGTGCTTGTTAGAGATGATGGCAACATAAAAGTATCTAACTTTGCCTTGCTACGGGCTCACGGTAGTGCTCCTTCAACACCCCGAAATCAGTCAGAATTTTATCTATCCATGCAGGAAATAGTTCTTGCATCCAAAGAATTCTTTGGAGAAAACTTTAATGTAATGTTGAATCCTGTGTTTGTTTGCATACTCCCTGGGAAGATCAATAAATCCTAATTGAACTTTGGCTTTGGGTGCTGAGCTCCCTTGGAATTGATGGCAGAGCCAATAGATGCACACTCGATGTCATTCCTTGGGATGAATGAGTATTTGGCCGTTGAAGTTATCTGAGAGGATCATTGTAGTGCAGTGGATTGGTGGACCATTAGCATATTTTTGTACGGGCTTGTGTATGGTACAACCCCTTGCAAGAAATCAGGAAACTGAGTTACACTTTTAAACATAGAATGCCAACCATTGATGTTTCCAGTGGCACCAGCTGTGAGGTTGACTGCACAAGACCTTAGCCATGGCCTCCTTGTCATCGAATTGCAGAAGAAAAGGATTGGCTACAGAAGGGGTGCTACTGAGATCAAAAAGTATCCATCATCTGCGAGGGTTAATTAGGCCCTCTGAGGAATGCCACGCCACCTTATATACTTGAATCAGTGGAGATGAAGTGATTTGCTTGTGGGATATGGTTACAGGAAAGAAAGTAACACCTAATGGTCTACATGGTGGCAACAAGAATGATGCAAGTGATTGACTTTGTTTCTATGACATGGTGGCTTAGTTCTACATCTGATGTCAGAGAAGAATTGGATTGGTTTGTAAGGGTCAAATGAATCTATCACTATTAACTTAGATTTTAGTATCGTGGGTAAGTGGTTTATGCCTATCAAATTAATCGGTGGGTAGTATCCCATCATGTAGGATCATGGCAGATATTAGATTTGATGAGGGATCAAAGTAGAAAATAACTAAATGTGGATGGGGATGGTGACACATCGCATGGAGTTACTTTAATCAGTTTGATTTTGTATTGTGTTTGTGGGCTCCGACAGAGGACTTCAATGCATTGGGATGCGCGGTGAGATTTTTTTTCTCCTGTTAATAGACAATACTGTTGTTAATCATGCATAATTGTCAGAGTGGACATCAATAGATGTCAATTTATTATAAATTGATGATCGTGTGACACAAATGTAAAGGTGCTTGGGCTGAATGGCCCATCGAGTCTCTTTTCTACTTTTATTTCCTCATTGCCGGTGGATCAGTTTTTTGGAATGATGTTAAAGACCCCATCTGTCATTTGCTGCTTTCAGGATTCCCTCTGTGTAGTCTTTAATCATTGTGCGTTTCCCTCTCAAGAAAAGAACAGGTTTTCGACCTAAAGGATGAGAGTTAGTCTTGGTTTCGGATAATGAGACAATTATGGAAAGGCTTGGATCAGTAGATTGCTTGACTTCTAGATATAAAATAGTTCTTTTGACACCATGTTTTAGTATCAGAGAATTCTTGCTTTGGGCAAAGCTTTTGTTTAAACACAGTTTTCCTTGTATTGCAGTGGTATGCTGTTGCGGAAGAAACCACTAAAGAGTGTTCAGCTTGTAGATGATCATGTGTCCGATACACTGTTGTATGCTTTCAAGATTGACCACTGAAGAACATGCTCTCATGTTGAGAGCGGTATTTTCTACTGCCCAGGTTATCTAAATGATCATGTTCTGCATGCTTCTGCACAGCCATATTAAAATAGAAAACACGAATGAGAATAATGCAGTTCCTAGCAACTTAGTTTATAAGAAGGTGGATATCTCTCAACTGTTGAATTGAAATGTTTGCAGGGATGGAGTGCTTGCTGTGCTGCACATGAAGCTTCCACAGCAACCGACGAGGTGTGGCTACAGTGTTCGGCTCAGCCAGCAGAGGAGCGACAGAGCAAGCGAGGAATTTGGTGTGCAAAAAAGTATGTGCTCATGCAGAGGAACGTTCACCAATGACCGATGCCGCTGCTCCAGCCACAGTCCTCACTTGTATCTACTTTTAATTCCACTCGAGCGCTTTCGCTTTTCCTTTCGAAAAAAGAAGAGCAACAAAGACAGGAACAACGCCACCACCCATCTCCATTTCTATGCCCTCTGATTCCCTCCTCTCCCCCAACCTTCCTCCTCTCTTAGTCCAGGTAGATCTCCATGGCTGCGGCTGCTCTTGCTTCCAAGCTCTTCCTTTGTCTCTCCACTTCCCTCCTCCTCCTCCTCTTCACCTTTCCTTGTTCCACTGCTTCGAGCTTCCCCCGCTTGTCGCTCAGAAAGCAAGCCTCCATCCTCGTCTCTATAGCGCAGTCCTTCCACACCTCGGACGACTTCTTCCGCAGCTGGAGCTTCTCCAACCATGCAGCTGTCTGCGCATGGAATGGCGTTCGATGCGACGACGCCCGGCGCGCAGTGATCGAGCTCGACGTGTCGAACCTCAACATCTCAGGTTTCCTGCCACCCGCCATTGCGGAGCTCAAGAGCCTCGCTTCCCTCTCCGTCTCCGGTAACAGCTTCTCCGGTGAGTTCCCTCCCGGTATCAGCAAGCTCTCCGGACTCAGGCATCTCAACATCTCCAATAACCATTTCAATGGCACCATGGACTGGAGCTTCTCCGGAATGATGGGACTCGAGGTACTCGATGCTTACAACAATGACTTCGTCGGGTCTCTCCCTGTCGCGCTCACTGGACTCCCCATGCTACGCCATCTGGATCTCGGTGGGAATTACTTCTCCGGCACCATCCCGGCGGCCTACGGTGGCTTCCGAGCTATACGCTTTGTCTCGTTGGCTGGGAATGACCTGGGCGGACGCATACCCCCCCAACTCGGCAATCTCACCACTCTGGAGCAGCTCTACCTGGGCTACTACAACGAGTTCGACGGCGGGATTCCGGCCGAGCTCGGGAGGTTGGCCGAGCTAGTCCATCTCGACCTCTCCAGCTGTGGGTTGGAGGGCGGAATCCCGCACCAACTGGGCAACCTCACGAAGCTCGACACTCTCTTCCTGCAAACGAATCAGCTCACCGGCACCGTCCCTCCCCACCTTGGCAACCTGAGCAACCTGAGATACCTCGACATCTCGAACAATGCGCTGACCGGCGAGATCCCGGAAGAGTTCTCGGCTCTCCGGGAGCTCAAGCTGCTGCACATGTTCATCAATCGGTTCCATGGAGAGATCCCAGTGTTCGTCGCCGAGCTGCCCCATTTGGAGGTCCTGAAGCTGTGGCAGAACAACTTCACCGGCGTGATCCCTCCCAGCCTCGGACGGAACGGCGTGCTTCGAGAGCTCGATCTCTCCACCAACAAGCTCACTGGATTAGTCCCCCGAGCTCTCTGCTCCGGGAGGAAGCTGGAGATTCTGATTCTGCTAAACAACTTCCTCTTCGGTCCGCTGCCGGACGATCTTGGCGAGTGCACGACGCTGGGTCGGGTCCGCATGGGGCAGAACTACTTGACCGGGGCCATTCCTGGGGGCTTCCTCTACCTGCCGGAGCTCTCGCTGCTGGAGCTGCAGAACAACTATCTCACCGGCACGATGGCGGAAGAGCCCGCGAAGAGGCCCGAAAGGCTCGGCCAGCTGAATCTATCCAACAACCGGCTCTCCGGACCTCTTCCGGCCTCCGTCGGCAACTTCTCCGCGCTGCAGATTCTTCTTCTCAGTGGCAACCAGTTCACAGGGGAGATACCCTCTCAGGTTGGCCTTCTAAGGCACGTCCTCAAGGTGGACGTGAGCAAGAACAACTTCACCGGTAGAATTCCGCCTGAGATCGGCGACTGCTTCTTGCTGACGTACCTGGATTTGAGCCAAAACCATCTCTCCGGACCGATCCCATCTCGACTCTCGCAAACAAGGATACTGAACTATCTGAATGTTTCATGGAACCGGTTGAATGGAAGCATTCCGAAGGAGATCGGAAGCATGAAGAGCCTGACCTCTGCCGACTTCTCGCACAATGACTTCTCCGGCAGAGTACCGGAGTCTGGGCAGTTCGCCTACTTCAACGCTTCATCTTTTCTTGCCAACCCGCAGCTATGTGGATCGATTCTTTCGAGCCCCTGCAACATTTCGGCAAGTTCCCAATTCCAGTACGACCAACACCAAAGCTTCAAGTCGCAGCTCCCTGGAAGATCCAAGCTCCTGCTTGCACTCGGCCTCTTGATATGTTCCATGTCGTTCGCCGTCACAGTAGCCATCAAGACGCGGTCGATGATGAAGAGGAACTCGAAATCATGGAAGCTGACGGCGTTCCAGAAGCTAGAGTTCGAGAGCGAAGACATCGTCGAATGCCTCAAAGACAACTGCATCATAGGAAGAGGAGGAGCAGGAATCGTGTACAGAGGAACGATGCCGAGCGGCGAAGAGGTCGCGGTGAAGCGACTGCTTGGGATCAGCAAGGGATCAACCCATGACAATGGATTCTCTGCGGAGATACAGACGCTGGGCAAGATCAGGCACCGGAACATCGTGCGGTTGCTCGCCTTCTGCTCGAACAAGGAGTCCAAGCTGCTGGTGTACGAGTACATGCCCAATGGGTGCTTGGGGGAGCTGCTCCATGGAAAGAGAGGTGGATATCTCAGCTGGCAAATGAGGCTCCGGATCGCCATAGAAGCCGCGAAGGGGTTGTGCTACTTGCACCATGACTGCCGCCCGCCGATACTTCATCGGGATGTCAAGTCCAATAACATCTTGTTGGATGCCAACTTCGAAGCTCATGTCGCAGATTTCGGCCTCGCCAAGTACCTGAGGGACACGGGAGCTTCCGAGTGCATGTCGGCCATCGCCGGTTCCTACGGCTACATCGCCCCCGGTACTTTCTTCTACTACTAGTGCCGACAACAATTCTGCCGCATCCTTACTCTGTTCTAGCTTGTCACAGCTAAAGGAGTAGGAAGAGTTGGCGGGGATGAAGGTGAAGTAGAACATATCCTCACCGATCATATACTCTTCCAACTGTTCTCGTTCTGCAGCAATCTATTTTGCTGAAGAAGATGAATGCGGCAGCAGATGGTTCAAAGCACCAAGCAGTGAACTGCTTTATCTGCCTGCACCGGTGGCTGGCTACTTTGAGGAAGATAACACCGAGGTCCAATTCCTCAAAGAAAGCAAGCAGCATATCTACCTCTTTTCCTTGGCTAAGTGTTGCTTTCAACACAATCTGCATTCCTTTTGACCAAATCCATCATTCAGTAAATATCAAGCTCCTGATCCCAAACAGTCTCCCTTATGGCCCTCGATCGGTGTCCATGCTTTATGTTTTGTGCAGGCCCACATGCTAGCACATGAAAGCATCACCGGGGTTTGATCGCCTTTAATCTCTTCTACTTTGCATGCAGAGTATGCCTACACTCTCAAGGTGGACGAGAAGAGCGATGTCTACAGCTTCGGTGTGGTTCTGTTGGAGCTGATCACCGGCCGGAGACCCGTGGGCGACTTCGGGGAGGAAGGATTAGACCTCGTGCAATGGACAAGAATGAGCACGAATTGGAGCAAGGAAGGGGTGGTGAGGATATTGGATCCATGGCTCAGCAATGTCCCACTGGAAGAGGCGACGCAGGTGTTCTTCGTGGCCATGCTCTGCGTCCAAGAGCACAGCGTCGAGCGGCCCACCATGAGAGAGGTCGTGCAGATGCTCGAGCAGGCGAAGCCATCCTACGGCTTCCATGCACGTTAATCGTCGCGAATGCTTTGAGATTCCGCCGCAATTAATGTAAACGTGATGCGCGTGATGTTGTTGTTGCTGTTGTGTGTGTGTAAGAGCGAGAGAGAGAGAGAGAGAGAGAGAGAGAGAGAGTCGAGCATCTTCCATGACAATGCACCTCATTTGCCAGGAATCTTTGTGTTGCAAGAGCTGTTACCTTCTCCCAATAAAAGCTGGGGACGGACTACTGGTGTCATCTGAAAGATGGGTGCATGCCATGGCTTTTGGCATGGTGCAGTGGCTTTCAGCTCGACAATGGCAAAGCATGTGATGTGTGCGAGTGTGTGTGTGAGAGAGAGAGAGAGAGATGAAAAGGAAAAGTCGAGGAAGCACAGAGCACGTTTGCTGTTGGACGATCTGAGATTGCTCATCAAATGCTGGGAAGAGAGAGAGAGAGAGACGAAAGAGAAAAGTCAGGGAACATGGAGCATGGCTACTCCCGAGGAGCTGACTGCTTGACAAACGATGACAGAAGCAGAGCTAAAGAGAGGCGAGCAGGGTGGTCGTCCCAGCAGGGGATCCATGTATGAAGGCACCGTCCGGCTAAATTCGATGGAGCAAAGACCGGTGGAAGATGACAAGGAACAACTTTGACCTGCTTCCATGGCGATGCCACTCGAGAAGAGACTGCTACGCGTTCTGACGTCTGAAGAGTAGCATTAACTCGCTGTTGGTGGCATTGCCATCGAAGCACAGGGGGGGTGCCGCCGCGGTACACCGCCTTCTGCTCCCGTGGCTGGGAGAGAGAGAGAGGGAGTGCGAGGAAGAAGACAAGGGGACCGGGAGGGTGGTGGGGCCCACGGGCATGGTGGTGTTGGGCGAGGAAGGCGACGAGGAGGGCGCCATGATACGTCTGGGGAAGCCGCAGCGGCAGCAGGGCGTGCATGGCTTCTTCCTCCTCCTCCTTCTCCTCACCTCATGTGTACGCTGGCGTGACCGAGAGGGATGATTACATGTTGCACCGCAGGAATCCGGCTGCATCATCGAATCAACGCTGCATCCAACATGGAAACACCTATGTACGGATCACGGACGCACATGTCGGAACAATACAATATTGATAGGGAGGGCGAATGCGTCCATTCCCCGTCGACCGTCACAGATTCAACATGGATAAAGACTCTTCTAAATATCATCCCTAATTCGAATAATATTTCTACCAACACTTATTTTTGATCAAAGATCATCATCGATTATTAACAAATCTTTGATCAACGATCTAACAATTTTTTTTTTTCCTTTGAACATAAGCTATCTCAATCATGACCTAATTTACTTTTTTTTTTCTACAAGTCTCGTCCTCCGTCTCTTTTCTCTTTGCTTTTTTTTTTCGACTAACGTCGAATGCATTGATCGACAATAAGACTAATCGAATACCACTCGGTATAATATCATCAAAATTTATCCTTTTTAATATAAATTAATTATTATAATTTAAATCGAACCGTAATGCAGGAAGAAAACTAAATAAGAAGAACAAAATTTAAAGTAACATTAATTAAACATCATATCCCCTAATTACAAACAAGCTTCAATACTAGTAGAAACAGTGGGCTGGGAGATCTCAATCTCATAACATTCGGACTTTAATTATGACTTCGATCAGATTAGACAATCTTTGCAGATCAGATTAGACAATATTTGCAACGCCGGCATAGTTGGATTATGTAGATCTTCGTACAGACATTTGAACGGCCCACAACTAACACGGCCGAGCCCATACGTGAAAGATTTGTCTGACGCTTATTTGGAGTATGTTTGCGATTCGAACATCGGAGAGTACTTTTGCTGGGCATTCGTCCTGACATGACATTCTCCGTTCGGATGTGCTCTAACTCGAAAAAGTCTTCCATCTCTGAAACCCGTCAGCTACAAATCAGTGTGACGTTACAAGTGGAGTTTCTGCAACCAACACACACTAGTAAATGGAGGATGCATGATTCAACGACGGCGAGGGTTTATGGAAGTTCCTCACCTCTCTTTGTCTCATGACGGGTACAGCGAATCTTGTAGCATCCAATCTTCCGAAGAAGTCAACGGGGGCGGCTGCATGTTCTTATCATTTGATGAGGCTGACAGTGTCGTGGACCAAGAAGAGGTGTTTCCTTGAGTAACCCTTCCTGCCAACACAATCTTATCCTTTTCTTTCAGTGATCCCTCAGATAAGGTGAAAGGTGATTGCCATCACCCACTTTCCGCCATTAACCCCCGGTGCGGAGATGAGGATGAGCTGAAGGAGAAAAAGAATGAGAGAGAGAGAGAGAGAGAGAGGTGATGGTGGTGGTTGTGGGATATACACTTTGCTATGGATGTTGGTGATTTAGTGAACGAACCAATTGAGTACCTTTTGCCAAATATCATCACTGAGATATCTTTTTTAATGTTTTCCAACTCTATCTATGCCACTAAAAACATGAGCTGATAGATCAAACCAAGGGGTCCTTTTTAGGTTTTGTCTGAGCTATCATCACTCCATCCTAAAAAATAAACCAAAAAAAATATTTTCATTACGTTAAATAATGTGTAAGCCATTCAAATATGAATTCGAAACTCATCATTCGTATAACAATACACTAATTATTAGAATATCTCGAAAGAAATATTATTTGTATAATAAATAGTATACCGATCTTATACGTGTAAGATATTCTAATATTCAAATTAGAGAACACATCGAAAAAAAGATAAAACATAAATGTAATAATTAAAAGTGCAAAGAAGATTTCTTTTATCTGAGTTGCTGATAATTAATGTTATACATGATCCGTATTTACATCTGTTACGGGTGATGGTCTTTCAATATATATACAATATATGATATCAAACATTTCCTCAAGATCCAATATTAGGAGGTATCAAACGAATTGCTTCTGTCATCATCTTAAACTAAACTACTTAACTTGGGTTAAACTAGTAATCAACATCCAATTAACATAGTAATGCCATGTACTGACTCTGGTCTAAGTTGTTAGCTTCTCCCATTAAACCTCAATCGAATAATTTAATTAGTATAGAGTAATCAGCTATATTAATTGCCTAGCAAATGACCCACTCAATATTCGATTGTGTTTAAAATTTATTTGGAGAAAAATGTCATTCTGCATGCTATTGAGCTTTTAGAGTTTTCATAATAATTTATGTCTTAAATTAAGGTTTGTATTTCTATTCCTATTTTTTCTTATCTTATTAATAGAGAGGGCTTGAGATACTTTAAGAGCAACAAGAAGATCCTTTATCATCTTATTTTTACATTATTGTTGCCCATATTCTTTCATGCTTGTTTTATAAGACAGTTGATGATAATTTATTTTCCCCCATTTAAATTTAAGAATTAGATATTTATCTCTCACGTTTATGTATACAAATGATATCTTGGTGTGTTTTAGGACCAATAGGAGATTTTGTAAAGCCATTAAGGGTATTTTCAAGGTGTATAAGGTTCTTACAAATCAACATAATAATCTGGGTAAATCTAAAATATTTTTGGTATAAGGTTTATATTTCACTTTTATTGAAATAATCTATTTTGAATATGGATTACTGTTTTGAGAATGCCTTAGTATTTGATTTGATCAGGGATGGTTTTTGGGAGATAGATATGACAGACAGATTTGGAAGACTGACCTCAAAGGACAACCATCAACTAAGTTAAGGGATATTAAGAGTGGCAATGGTTTAAGTGAGAAATGTTAGGAAAGGCTTTGGAAACTGCTGAGCTATATAGGCTTCCAACAACTGGGAGACTGGCAATGGTTTGAGTCTTTGTGATGTTGCAGCTTGTGTGTTGTGTGGACGTGCAGGACCATGTTTTCTTTGAATGCTGGTTTGCATGCGAGGCATGGAGTGGAGAGTCGACGAGGCTTGGTAGAGAGAGAGGGGAACGACCTCACTAAAACCAGCTATGGTCTTTTGACAACCTCGATTGGCTATTGATATGAAAAGCCCGTAATGAGGCAAAGCTTTAGTTTATTATATATTATATTGTGAAGTTTTGATGCTGTCTAAGAGATGTTTAGGGAATAATCGATTACTTTTGATAGTGCTTTTGACATGTAGAAAGGCAAAGGAGAGATAGGTTTCCTCCTTCGTTCGAGATAATGCATGGAAGATAATTAATTCGAGAGCGAAGTTATTTACGATTAAGCATGGAAGGAATCTTCAAACTGGCAGTGGAGTCTAATGCTGAATTATACTATTATGAAAGTATTTGAGAATCAAGATTTCAAAAGGATATGCTTAGTCGTGTAGATAAGAGAAGAGAAGAGAAGAGAAGAATAATGCTTACTGGCTAGCATTTGTTAGTAAAGAACGATATAATTATCGGAGTTGACTCATTTTGCTTTTGGTGTAACTTTTTTTTTTTGGGATTAATTTAGTGATTTATAGTTATTTTGATTTTGAAAAAATAATAATAAAATAAACTTTTGAGAAGTGGAGTTGAAGTGACCACATAAATGACCCTTTGGTGCTTCCTTCCCCATGACTCCAATATTTTTGCACATAATAATAAAAAAAAGAAAGAAGAAGAAGAAGAAGAAGAAGAAGAAGAAGAAGAAGAAGAAGAAAAAGAAAAAGTGCACTCATGTCTGCCCACTCTCACATCCTCATCTGACTTCTCCTTTTGGTGTGGCTAAGAGAATGGCTTCACACACCATATCTCCCTCCCATTGGCACCTTCATAAAGTCTACCACACCACCCATCACAAGATTATGCCTTATTCCACCTCAAATAACATTATATATATATATATATTATATATAAGAATTCCCACTTGTTCATCCCCCTCGGCTTCAGCACTGCTTCTTCCATGAAATGATGCACCCAAGTACACAAGAATCTTTAAACAATAAGGTTCTGTTATCATTGTTGTCTTCCTCCATCATCTCTCACTCGGGAAAGCAGACCTACCCATTGGCTGCCTCCTCATCCATCTTCCTCCACAGTGAACCCTAATCACCACCCAAGCTTAATCCACCAAGCAACTGCTCATCACACTCGTTATCCATCGAGCATGATGATGGGAATCGAGCACACCTTTCCTATCCGAAGAGACCCAAAGAAAAATATCATCTAGTGCTGGCAGATCATGTATATCTTCCTCCCAAGTCTGGACACCCTCCTTGCAGCCATTGGTCTACAGCAGCTAGCGAGAAGAATATCTCGAAAGCACAGGTTGTCTATAGATATATCTACTATATATTGTAGCTAGAATCTCAAAGGATATGCCCGAGAAGAAGAAAGAAGAAGAAGAAGAAGAAGAAGAAGAAGAAGAAGAAGAAGAAGAAGAAGAAGAAAGGAGAGAGAGGTTCGACAAGGTCAAGACCTATATCTATCCATCGACCGTTCGCTGGCAGAGGCAAAATACGAATCCAGAAAAAAGTAAACTGATGGATTGTGGTGCATGTCACACAACCTGAAGTGGAGCTGCTTGTCACACCAAAAGAGGAGGGAATAAAGAGGGCCACAAGAAACAAAAAAAAACGCCACAAAATTTGAAGTACAAAGGGAGTCACATGCCACTACGTATGGCTTTGGTCAAACCTGATTAGGGTTTTGTACTGTTCATCTCCCATGATCCTCCTTGGGGTCCCTCTCCCTCTCCCTCTCCCTGCAGCCTCACTCCACGGCGATCGAAGCCAGTGTTTTACTGCACCTTGCTGCTCCACATTCTCCCCATTCGGAGATGCTAATTGCCCAAGCATAAAGCTAAAGGCCGTGCTTATTGCCCACTTTCGAAAAGCATCGCTCTGTTGGTACCTTTTTAATCTCGAATCATTGCCTGGAGCACAAGTAGATGGATCATCATGACAATGCTGAGTTTTTATTTGTGGCCAAACATGCTTTAGGTGTGCATGTATGATGCACGCATCGTATGGGTATATTACGATCGCAGGCGGATTCCGGTGAAAGCCGCGGCGGGGAGGAGGAGGAAGAAGAAGAAGAAGAAGAAGGGGTTGACATAGCCTGAGACGTGGAACCCAGGAAAGAAAAGAGAACATGAGAGCGCGGATGACACTCGCGTGGCTTTCCTCGTTGGATTGAGGTGGGGAAGGTAAAAGTAAACCTTGGAAGGAGAGGGACAAGGGGAGGAGGAGCTGCCAGATGTAAAGCCCACCCATTAGTGTAACATATGCTTTCTCTCTCAACCTGACAGGTCTCAGGCAACCACCTCCAATATCTGAGCCAACTGCCCACTACTAATACTTTGCACCCATTTATAATACAGGAAGCTTCCATTACACTTAGGGACAAAATTATGATGCAGAAAGAAAGAAAAGGAAGAAGCATCTTTGCACTGTTCATGCATTGCCATCGCCCGCTGCACTCCCCCCACTATCATCTTCCTCCTTGCCTTCCGCAATTTCCGCCGCCACCACCACCTCCTCCTCCTTCTTCTTCTTGTACTCTCCGTAGAGGTAAGAGCTGAAGCTCCAGATGCAGAGCGCCATGGCCACGGCCTTGCCGCCGCCGAACGCGTCGCCGAACACCAGCACGCCGCCCACCACGTTGACCGACAGCAGCGCCGTCATGCAGATGCCGCTGTTCACGGAGGACGTCAGGTACACCATACCGGCGGTGCCCAAGAAGCAGAGCTGCCAGGCCGCCACCGTGGCCGCCACCACCACCCAGTACCGGGCGACGCCGAGGTTCCACTTGCCCTCCCTCCGCCACCCGCCGGTGGCGAACATCCCTGTCGCCGCCAGCGCCGTCGCCGCCGCCTCCATCAGCACCTGCACCTCCACCACCATCCGGTACCCGCTCACCTCGCGGTAGACCAGCTGCATGAGCGGGAGGTACACCGCGAAGAGCCCCGCGGCGCCGAGGGTGGCGGCGAAGCCGAGGAAGAAGTGGGCCCGGTCGACGCCGTCGGGGCGGTCGTGTTTCGAGTTCAAGGCGAGGAGGACGGAGCTGAGGGTCAGAAGAACGACGCAGTTGAGGTTGGAGAAGGTCAAGGGATGGCGGACGAGGAGCGCGGAGAGGAGGAGCGTGAAGCCGAGCTGCGACGACAGGAGCAGCGAGGAAGTGGAGACCGACAGGTAGGACACGCTGCAGGAGAAGAGCAGGTTGTTGACGCCCAAAAGGAGGCCGACGAAGAGGGACAGATAGAGGAGGCGCGGAGTGAGGCCGGAGAAAGGACGGGAGGAGGGAGACGAGGCGAGGCATATGGGAAGGAGGAGGAAGGGGAACCCGGCCGACTGAACCAGAGTGGAGACCCACCGGTTGGAGCCGCCGTGGACGAAGTAGTATCGCGAGAGGAGCGAGGAGGAGAGGGAGCCCACGAAGAGGATCGTGTAGTTGGCGGCCAAGAGAAGCTTTCTCGACCTCCACCACCGGTTCCCCGCTTCGCGTGTCGCCAGAGCGGCCTCCGCCACCTCGCCTCCTCTGCTTTCTTCATCCAGCCGGGGGCGATTGGCTTCCTTCGGGGCGAGGTTTGCCATCAGACGCGGATCGAGAGGAGGAGAGGCAAGAGGTGGATCACTTCCGTGCTCTTGCCTTGGGAATACTCCTCCGAGCGAGCGTTTACGTCTTATAAGCGTGGGTTGGCATGCTTTTTGCTGCACTGTGCACATATATAATACCACGGACGTGGATTCTCCTCTCCCTCTTTCTCTCTCTCTCACACGCTCTCCTCTCTTCTCTTTCCCCTCCCTTACCTTTCCTTTCCTTTCCTCTGTAGCTTTTCGTTGATCTGTGCATGTGACGTGATTGAATCGAAGTGGGAATATACAATATTCTGGGGCCGTCTAGTAGCAGCCACCGGAGTTGTTTAAGATGAAGTGGGAACGGAGGAGGAAACCCACAGGAAGGGCCATTGGTGAGGAAAGCGCATTTGGGAGAGGCAGTCGACGAAGTGCGAGCCCGCATGCCCTCCGTCCTCGCCGCAACAACAACACGACAA